GATGTAATCCCAGCTGAAGTGCTGGAAAATGCACATTCTTCTTTTTTTTTGCTGGAGCACAGCCTGTCCTGCAGCTTCTCTTTTTTGCCTGGAGCTTTGTATTTATGTAATCATGGTGTGAAGTTGGGACAGGCTTGATTTGCCCTGACTTTAATGGAGCAGAAACGAGCCCTCCTAGCATGAGGCAATTTAAGTCCTGCGTGTCTTGGATGTAGCTGCTGTCACTAACAACCTTTCCCGTGTTGCAGACTGCTCTCAAACCCCCTTTAAATTTTCTTTAAGCTGCATAGTCCCAGTTAGTTCAGGCTTTCCCTTGTAAATCATGTTTTAGAGTTCCCTTTTGGTCCTCAGGTTCCCTGAAATGGGTGCCCAGGTGTCTCATACCAGCCACTACCTGAACAGAGCACGGTGGGGACAGCTCTGTGTGGCCTGCAAGCCAAATTCCTCTTTTAGGGCCTCTTCCTCTTCCATAATCACGTCCAATTTCTAAAGTACTCCTGAATTCTTTCTTATACAAAACCACTATAGAAGCAGTCTGGGTTTATTGCTACCAGTCGTGGCTGTGCTCTCTTCCATACTGTGGAGCATCTTCCTCACCTTGCAGCCCGCTTATCTGCAAGATATATTGCAATTTCTCATGGAAATCTCAGCTATAGCACCTAATGGCAATATGGGCAGAGAATTACAGGAGCATTAAGGCTGTGGGCAGGGTGAATGTGCCTGTTCACAGAGCATTTCCCTCTGCACACAAGGTTGGGTTTGGCTCATAGGGGTCAAGGCTTGTGCGGCCACCAAAAAAACACCCAAGTGTATTTGAATAGCTACAGGAAAAGCAAGCAGGAAATGCAGCCTTTGGTGTGACTGATGTTTTTCAAGTGAGCTGCTCTGCTGAGCTGCTTTTATTTTTAAATCTCTGGTGAGAAGCGATCTGGGGCCTCGAGAGATCTGAATTTATGGCATTCTTTCCTACGCAATATTACTTCCATGGCAAGTCTTTTCTAGTGGGGTTGCTGCTGCTTCTTCCCTGCTCCTTCAGATATGATCAGATTCTCAGATCTGATCTGGAGATATTAAAAAAAAAAAAAAAAAAAAAAAAAAAGACCTCAAATTTAAGGCCGGTGGTCCGTCTCCAATAATTAGAATGAAGGAAAGGACATTGGGCAACCTGACTTCAATTTGTGTCTCTTCCTTTTTAGTAATGGTCTAAATTTAACCTGTCCGGAGTTATTTCAGTGCCTTCGCTGATCAGTTTAACACAGCCCAGGTCACTTGCGGGATATTTTTGCCCGTCCAAGACTTGGCGGGTTCCAGGAACAGCAGGATGTAGCCTGTGGTTCACCTGGAAGCCCAGGCGATTCCGAGGGCGGTCGATTGGCTCCCGAAGGAAGCGTGGGAGGCAGCCAGGAGCTGGAGCCTGGCTTGGTGCCAGGAATAGCTCCGCGGAGCGCCGTGTTTTGTGCTGGGCTGCGGCTGCAAGCCGTAACGAAACAGAATTTGGAGCTTGTTTTGGAAAAACACTTGCTCGTGTAAAGTGAGCGATTGATTTTTCCGTCCTTATGATGCAGAATGATCCTCGTTTTGTCAGGCCTGAGCCTGAAGCCTCTAAGCGAGGATGGGAGTGAGGTGCCCGGGACTTGGCTGCAGCCAGCCTGGAGGGTAGAAGCCCTGCCAGGAAGCAGCTCCTCGCTAGGACATCCCCTTGGAATTGCTTTTCTTGTCTTTGGGAATGTCCATGCTGCAGTAGATTATGTGCAATCCCACCCAGAAATAACTGAGTTACTCTTCCAAAAGCAACAAGGAATACACACGAGAAGATAAAGTGAGCTCTGCCTCACATTCTTTGTTTCTGTCATTAGAAATACAGCAGTTTGTAGGAGATTCATTGGTCTGCTCAGTGTGTAACTCCTGCATTTGATCCCTTGACGGTGCTGTCATTTTGCCATAATACATCCAGAGAACCAGTGTGTCGTATTCACATGTTTGCTTCTCTCCACTGATCTTTCAGGGACTGGGTAGTTTCAAAAATGCCTTAGGAGATGTGGAGCAGAGCCCTGTGGTTCCTCTGGATCCCCTCCGCAGTCAGCAGAGGACCTTCTTTCCCAAGTCCATGATGATACCGTTGTTAGAAGCCGGCACACAGAAATCCCAGTAGTGGAAACAATAATAACTTGAATAATATCTTGAATAATAACTTGAATAATACCTTGGTTTTGCCAAGGGAAGGTGTTGAGGTGAGACAGCGGCTGCGGTTGGAGCCACGGAGCTGTGCACAGAAGAGTGTTTCTCGAAGCTGTATAAATCCTAACCCTATATGAAAGGAACAATGCAGTCTAAACCTCTGCGAGTAAGCAGTAAGTAAAAACACTATTTTAAGCCACAAATGGCCAGAGGAATAAAGTCCTAAATTAAAACTCAGAAGAGGAGTAGTCTTGGTACCATGACCTGGGGGAAGAAATGCCTGTGCTTAATGTGACATTGGAGGAGAGTGGAAAAACACCAACACAATCATTACTGCTTGGAAACATTTTGTCTCACTACATTTCTTGCCATTGAGGAGCAACGAGGACATGGAGGCATCCAAACCTTTACTTCAGGAACTTGATGTAATGCAAGTACAACAATTAAAGGCTCGATATATTTAACCTACCCTTTTCACTCCCAAGAACAATTAATACTTTATTGTGTGGAAATATTCTTTACCTGTCTGCCTCCATCTCCTGTCCAAGTGAGAATGTGGTGTAAATAACCGAGGAGCTCTTGCTGGAGAGCCAGAGTAATTAGGCACAAGACCAAATATTTAATGGATATCGTAGTTACTAGGCTAAGTACTAACTGCTTCACTGAGAGCTTCAGCACCAACTAAAGGGTCCTTGTGAGAGTCTGTTCCAGTGCGTCATCCTTCACAGAGACCAGAGATTGGCAACGGCAGGAGGACAGAGTCCGGCCTCCGTGGGCAACTTCCCAACATGGGGCATCTGCCTTGCCTTCATCCATGCGACTTCTCGCTCCACAGGGACGTCGGCGGGGTCGCCCAGGCTTCTGCCACGTTGGCTTAGTTGCTTTGCTGCTGAAGAATCGTTGTCCCTTTGATTCAGGGAGATGATCTTACTTGTACGTGTGAAGTCACTCTTACAGCCCCATATATAGAGGGAGAAATGAGTTTTAAATGGGCCACTAGGAGAAGGTAAGGACGCACAAGAAGGAGAGAGAAACTTGGGATTTTTTGACTTATCTGCAAAGGAAGATGACATGAAGTGGGCCCCATGCTTCGATTTTACATTCTCTACAGGCTGGAGATTGGGAAGACCTGCAGCAAGATGCCAGGAGGCCAAGCCACGCAGGAGGAGAAACAGTTCCTTGGTTTTGGACTCCAGACCATTAGGGTAACAGTTGCGTTAACAAACGTGCTGAAAACCAAAACTCTGGAAAGGTTTTGCTTGGCTGTTGGTTTAATATTTTCGCTCCCAAGTGAATCTCCATCTGAGTTTGAAAGCTCTGAAGAACTGAGCTAATAGAACAGTTGTTCATCATTCCAAGAGCTGTACTCTAATAATAGTTAATAAAATAAAAATTCTGCAGCAGTAATGTGTTGCTCGCTTCACACCTCATCTTTTTTTTAAAAGCAAGGAATAAAAATCCTGAGATAAAGAATAAGCTAAAATAGAATAGTTAATTTGGGAAAAAAGCCCAGCAGTGGCTCAAGTTGGGTATTAGCCTGTAATGTTTTCATCTATTCTTTCCAATTTCCAGCTCTTAACTTTTTGCTCTACTATCCCTCTCCCTCTTTTGCTATTAAAATGATAAAATATCTTACTAAATAAGATATTTATTACCTTATTTATTAAAAAAAACTCATGAAAAAAGGTCTGGAAGACCTTTGCAAATGGTATGTGGCAGCTCTCTGTTGTTTTGCAGACTCTATATTATATTTATTTTGCACCCTTCCGTGGGGAATGTTCTGAGGCTGTGTTCTGACACACGTTGAGAAGGGAGCACGACAATAAAAGGAAGCATTCCAATAAAAGAAATAAAGTGCAACTAGTGCTTTTTGTTTTTATTTTTTCCAACATCGTGATGAATTTGCAGTTGTGACAAAAGATGCTGCTTTAGGCCTTTCTCTATTGGAAGGGTAGCAAGCATGAAATCCTCGTGTGATTCTTTCTCAGAGAGCGTCACTGTGTCTTAAAATGAAACCACCACCTTAGATTGTATTTTTCAGATTTAAATAGGAGGGTTATTGCATTAAAAAGATCAGGAATTCAAGCATTTAGTATTTTTCATCTCTGAGACTCCTGTATAAACTAGTTAAGTTCTGTGACTTGTGTATAAGCTAGTTAAATTCTGCAATCTTAGGAATGGTTTTGTTGTTCTTAAGTAGTCGTGCATACGTCTCAAGTTTGGCACATTACTTCCCATGGCTGGACAAGTAGCCCCGCATTGTCAAAGCCAGGAGCATGGTGTAGTTGTTCTCCTCTCTGCCTGATTATTTATTTATGCATTCTGATCCATAATAGCTTAATAATAGCCCTGAAACAATAAGATAATCATTTTGCTTCTTGGGTGGTTAAAATTAACTGCGCTCATTGCATATTTATTTTGTAAAAGAAACAAGCTGTTTAGTAATTGCTCAGAAATATGTTATCTGCATAATTTTCTGTTTCTAAATATGGTTTGCATGACCATTAATCCGTGCCAGCAGCAAACAAGCAAGCACACAGCAATATCTGATGCAATTAGTGTTTCCGATGCATGCCAAAGAGAACATCTGGCCCAGTGGGGGTGTTTTAGACCAAAGCTGCCCTTCTGTTGGGGTCCACACTCTGTGGGCACACAGGCTCGTTGGGTGGATAAACACTCTCAGGCTTTGGAATCATCTCTAGGCAGGTTGGTGGCTCTTGTGGATTTGTTGCCAAGGTCCTATGTGCTAAATGACACGCTTCCCTTTAAAATAAAATTACCTGAAATCCTCTAACATTGCTTTTTCTGCTTCGTTTTGCCAGCCCCCACTGGTGCAGGCGATTTTCAGCGGCGATCCAGAAGAGGTGCGGATGCTGATCTACAAGACGGAGGATGTCAACGCCCTGGTAGGTGGCCTGGCTTTGCGTGGCTGCGGTGTCACGCGCACCGTGCTCCTGAACTGTCACCGTGACCGTGTTCGTCGTGTCCTTGGTAATTAACAAGTAACCAGGTGGAAATTAGTTGACAGTTCAGGATTGCTGCCACGAATGGAGTTCTGATTAGATGTCTGAAATGTAATTACTTTCAGCAGGTGACATATAGTCCCCTATACGTAGAATAATTGCTTCAAGTGAACAGGTCACTCCGGGACATGAAGTTTTCTTTCTCACTGGGAGGATGAATATCTGCAGCCTAGAGCTGCATACTTTGACTATTCCTTTTGTGAAGAGTCTTTACAGACCAGGAGCTTTTATTCAGCATTTGGCTGCATTTAAAATAAAACTTCATTATAGGTCTCAGCAGTGAGAGTAAAGAAGCTGTATCTCGGCCATGATTTGCCCACAGAGGCATTAATGTACTTTACATTGGTTTCTTTCTAGCCAGAACAACAGTAAGCAGCTCTAAACAAGTAATAGTTAAGCATTTTAATAGGGGAAAAATTGGAAAAAAAATTGCAGAAGCTCCCTTTGTCCTTTGCATAGGCTTCTCCTTTTTGATTTGTACTGTTAATAACAAATCCTCGTAGTCTTTTGGCTGCAATTTGTGGCCTTTGAAAGCGGTGGGAATACAAAGCCAAAAATGGTGGTTTTACAGGTGTTTCCTGGGCTTCTGCACCAGTCTTTTCTTCATGCCCTTTTCTGACAGAAAGCTGCTAGTTTATTTGTAGCTCATTCCAGCAGTTTGCCTGGTGTAGTCTTGGCACGGCAGCTCGTGCAGGCAGTGTGGTCCAGACAGGTGGCTGGAGGGAGGCAGAAGGAAGCCGAGGAAGAAGAGGAGATCCTGCAGATCCGGTTACCTGCAGCTGCGCTGCCCTCCTGGCCAAACCAAAGGCAGGATGTGGATTTAAATGGGGAAGCTTATCAGAAAACAAAGACCTCGATGTTGGGCTTATTTCACAGCAAGTCCTGAATATTTTCTTGACCTGAGTTCCTGCAACTGCTTGCTTAAAGCATCATCTTCCTTGAATTTCCTCAATATTTGCTTTCCTTTTTGGTGGTCTTATGAGAATGTCTAGATGAATGTGCCGGTCCTGAAGGTTCTTTTGTCTTTCATGTTGATTCTTCAAAATTGTATTTTCTATGCAAGATGATTGTAGGCATCTCAAAAGTCTGGATGTTCTTTGGCTGCAAGTGTGGGTGCAATATTATATGAAGAGCCTGTATTTTGTATGTGAATACCATGGTACTTAGCAGAAGATATCATTGGGCTTCAACATTTTTGTCCAGAACCCAGTAAAAGTTCATCTGAGAATTCTTTGCCTGAACAGCTATTTCATCAGGAGCAAAGAAACTCCAGACAGTTGCTTGGAGTGATTACAGAAACATCTGCCAATGCAAATTCTGAAGATTGTCTTTTTGAACACGTGTAGAAGTGTCCAATGCTCAAGATGCCACTAAAGAAACATCAAAAGGTTGTATGTTCCCCTGTGGTATGAGTTGGCAAGTTGTGTGGCTTGTTTATGCTTCTATTTTAAGGGTATTTTTAATTACTTCCATGTTAGTGTTTCTCTTGTGCTTGGCTGCTCACGTGAGAGGAAGTTCTGACACTGCTTGGCAGTGAATTCTCCTTTGTTGCTCATTTTGAGCAACAAAGCTGTGTTAATATTGAAATGCTTCAAATGCAAGTAGGGGAGGAAATAAAATATAACTCCCCTTTTAGAGCATTTGGGATTTCTGAAGTTTTATAGGGAATGTTTTGGATCTTGTAACAATGGAGGTATTAGAAAGGCAGAAGGAAAAGGCACATGGAGCAAACTATGCAAACTTAGTAAAATATATACATACTACCTAAGAGAAGATGCATTTCAGAGGAAAGAGCTGAGAGCAAATTGGAAGCCTTCGAAAGCTCCAGTTTTTCTTGTCTGGTAAAATAATTAAGATCTTCCTAAGGCCGGAAGCGTGTCTGTATAAGCACGGTGTTTATAGCAAGCGACTCCGGACAGCCCGGGGCTGCACGATTCCCTTCCTGGCCTCTGCCTGTTTGGAGACGTCATGGGGATCGTGGTGTGTCCGGGAAGATGGGCATTTCTTCCTTTCTCCTGACTGCTTATGCTTCGGAGGGCAGAGGAATTTCGGGCTCCGCTTGCGGCGCTTCCGGCTGCTCTGATTGCCTGGGATTTGTGGTTTGTGCAGCTCTTTTGCCACCCTAAGTGCATAGAGTTTCAGACCTTATGTGAAAAATTACTATTTTCTGTTAAAGCAAAATCCCTTCCTCCCAATGTTAATTTTCATCTCCACCTTCCAGTTTCCCTTTAAGAAAGCAGGCAGCCAAACAAGAGAAGAGCAGAAGGCCCTCCAGCATTTCTCCCTGGAGTCACGTTTGCAAGCCAAGCCAGCCCCTTCTTCCTCGCCGCTTCCCAGCAAGGCTGAGGAGCTCTGGGAACAGGAGCAGGAATGGTGATCGGTAGAGGCAATGCAGTGAGGAAGACCCTGGGAAGGTCTTGGGGAGATATGGATGTTCGCTGTTGCACCTGCATGCAGCTCCACAGATTTACAGGATATATGCTGTAAAACAGGAAAATTATGAAACACTTGGGATTTTCAGGAATTTCAGGAAATGAAATACTGAAATTGCTTTGGTGGTTGGTGCTGCAGCACAGCTCTGCTTGGAGCTACAGGCTGCGTGGAAACTGAGGTGTTGGGCACCTTCTGAAAGTGCCCACGGATTTCACACGTGCCGACAGGATCCCTTGGAGTCGCCGCATCCGCTTTGCTCCCGGGCTCTGGGCCAAGCCAGCACTTAAGGAGCAGCCTAACGTGGAGCCTCTGAAGGGCCTTATCGGTGGTTGTTTGAACACGTTAAGTGAGTGTGGAGCTTTCCATGTTGAGGCCTCCTCCCTGCCCCTGTGCTTTTGGTTGTCTGCTCCTAAATGCTTCATTCCCTTTATTTCTACTTATATATATATATATATATATATATATATATATATGCACACACACACATATATATATAAATAAAAAGATATATATAAAATATATATATAACGTATACAGCTAAGGTCAGCTGGTAGCATTCCCTTTTCAGTGAGCTTAGACAAGCCATTAATATAGCTTTGGAGGGGAAATGCTTATCTTATCTTGGAGTATTTCTTGTACCCATTGTTTAGCTTATCTGTTGTCTTTTATTGACCTTTTGTTCCTTTAAAAACTGCACTTGAAGCAGGTCAGATTATTTGTCTTAATGCTATTTGTGACCCTCTTATCGTTCCTTTTTTTTTTTTCCCCTTTCATTTCCTTTCCTTAAAATGTATGTTCAGATTTGAGATACTGCTGGACCTTTCAGTGAAATGACAAATTCTCTTTATTATTGTATCATTACTGTTTGCTTGTTGTTCACATTACAGTGACAGAATTTTGCAGGATTAACATTCTACAGTTCTGTTTTTTTCATGGGGAGTGCAGAATTTTAGCATAAAAACTGTTGTGTGCCTGAAAACTCCTCTCTCTGTGAGAGCTTGATTGTCCTTCAATTTGTTGGGCTTTACTTTGCTCACAAAAGCAAAATGCTTAGAGGTGGATATTACTTTGCTAATAACAGCATTGCTGCTTCAGGGAGGGATTGTTTGTTTGTTTCTGACACATTAGCAGCCTCTTTCACTTAAAATGAGGCACCACAGTTTAGTGGAATCATAAAAATTCCACTTATCTGTTTCATGCCCTTTCCTACCTGGGCTATCAAGTTTCCATCAGATTTATACAATTTAGTATAAAATATTGCTTATATTAAAAAAAAAAAAAAGAAAAAAGAAAAAGCCTTGGTCTAGAAAATCACTCGTTCTCATACAGGTAGGTATTTTCTCATATAGATACATAGGTAGATAGGTTCTCATATAGGTATTTTACATCAAACTGCTCTTGGTTGTGTTGCCAAACTCATTTTTCATGCAAGCTAATGCTACAAATCCTCTTCAGCTGCATAAGGCACAGCAAGTTTCTGGGATGGAAATCAAAAAATGAATCCTTTCCTAAGCTGTTATAATTATTCTACCATGTGAGGAGGGGGTGTCTGAGGTCCTATATCCCATGTACTTCATCTATCCAGCGTTTTATATTCATGCTTAATATGCAAGATCAAAACCCACCACAAAAGAGTTGGCGTATGCTGTTTCATGGATGTCCAAAATACTCGTGCATCTAACATAAAAATAACTTTTTTGGACTCAGAAAGTCATACTTTGTCCCCTAGTACTTTCTCTAAAGATATATCATCTTTCTCAGAGTCTCATGGTGTAGTGTTGGTACAAACTAGAGTTGCAAAGCCTGGTATCTAAAAGGGTCTAAGTCGTGTCACTGCAATACTCAGGGCAACTTCCAAAAGACACACACTTCAGAGCTGTATTCAGGCTTTGCATGAGGGGGATGCCTGTGATAGGATGGCGTTTTGATTTGGTTTTGAATGGGTTTGTGTGCCTGTGAAAAGAGTATTGGACCAAAGAAAATTTCTCTTGCAAGGTCTGGTGGGACTGTGTGGTAAGAAAGTTGAGACTGCTGAGAGGAGTTGCTTTTCAGACCTTGAATTTTGATCTTTTACTGGGTGAGATTGCCTTTCCAATTATAAGCAGAAATACATGTAGAAAATAAAACATTGCATAAAAATGCACTATTCTTTAACAGAGTTACTGGCTGAGTTTTACAGCTGCACGGGCTGTTGTTTTGCAGGACACTGAGAAACGAACTCCCCTTCACGTTGCATCTTTCCTGGGTGATGCAGACATCATTGAGCTGCTCATTTTGTCAGGTAAGACACTGTCTCTCACAGGTTTTCGCTGGTAAGTTATCGAGTTTCAAAGCTACAGAGAGTACCTAGTGGGACCTGTGTGACCAGGCTCAATCCTTACCAGAGTTTCAAAGAACTGTCCACAATATTTTCCGAGCTAAGAAAGTATGTTTAAATTTGGTGATGTAGCTGTAAAACATGTGCTGTCTCTGAGAAGAATTAATAAACAAAACATTTTGCAAACATGTAAAGCATCCAGACTGATAATACTTGTGGATTCAGAAACATACTGGAGTCCGTATTTGAAATGTGGGCTCAGTTCCTGGAATACAAGCCAAGAATTTCTATTAAGCAAAGATTATTATGGCATAATAGGAAAATGATTGTGTTTGAATGAGTGTATTTACATTAGAAACATCATTTGAAGTGTCAAGAAATTGATTTGGAGGATAGAAAGCTGCAGTGTGATGTATTTAAGTGAATGAAGCAATTTGCAAATCATTTATAGAAGAACTGTTCTTTTGGAGAACTGACTGATAACGACAGCAATGTCATGACCCATTTGTGGGTAGTCCATAAACAACAGAAAATTGGATGAATAAATTGTTTATCTAAACCCAATAGTATGTTTCGCTTCTTACTAGAGGATGTTAAATTATGTGTTGAAGGTAGAAAGGTGGCAAGTGTATACATATACCCATGTGCAATATATCTTCGTAGTTGTACAATGTCTTGCAATAAACTGGACAAAAAAAAATCGAATGTTATTTGTAAATGTTCACATTATCACTTCAAAAGCATCAGTTACTTTAGATTAACTACATTGTAGGGGATTGCTAAAGAGCTCATCTCCTTGGATGAGCTGGAATGAAGAAATCATGAACAGAAGTAACAGCTTATATATACACACACACACACACACACACACACATATATATATATACACACACACATATATATGGAATCTGGTAGAGATTTATCCATAGGTGTTCAAAACACTTCTGCTGATTATTTTGCTTGCTTGTTTGTTTGCTTTCTCTCTCTTTTGGTGGTGTAGAGGCTGAAGCACATTCTTTAGCTAAGAGCCAAGAATTTAAGCAAAACTTATTCATGGACACTTAAGGCCCCGTATTTTGCATGCCCTTGTTTGCATTTGCTTCAGTGTCTCCTTTGATTTTTGAGGTCGACAAAGGGCAATAGACCTAAATTGGAGGAAAAAAAAAAAAGAAACAATTTTGTAAAGGGAAGTACATTTATCAGTATTCCTTGAGTGATAGGAATTAATTTATTAATTTGTCTGATCTTCATGCCAATTAGCTTTTATGGTATTCAGACTGCAGTGTGTAATATATCCCATATGTGCTCCAGACTATCACATAATTGCCTATTTATCGTTATGCAGACGACATTATAGAAAGTAATTCTTTTAGCTCTGACTTTGTTTTGTCTAGTGGCAAGCATGCTTCCACAGCTTTGAATTTCCAGTGGTGCCTATTAATAAGTTTGTGTAGTTATTTAGTACTTGCCTAGCCAAGAACTTGAGCTCTAAATCTTGCAGGAACAAGGCCCTCTGCAAAGCACCCAGGCTTTGCTTCCCAGAAATGGAGTGTCTGAAGGATAAGGCTTCTGCCCGGATACTTGGAGACTTACCAGAAATTGTGAAGTTAAAGAGTGGAGTCTCCTCATCTGTTGATTGAAATTCCTGATTTCAGAGATTTAAACATCAGAATCTAGATTTATTTGAGATTTGTGGATTTGGCAGGTATGTTGGCACAGAAAATTGTAGAGGAAAAGAAATGTGGAAAAAGTTGAGGAACACAAGGCTGATGACATGTTGTGTATTATTTTACGTTTCTGGTGTAGTTTTCCGGTATTTCCTTTAGCTGTTTTTTTTAGCTCCTCCTTTAGCTTGTTGAAGGGATCAATGAAGGGCCTGAAGAGGCACTTTCCAAGTTTTCAGTTCATCCCATTCAGCCTTTGTAGTGTTTGAAAGCTGAGGAATGATACCATGTTTGTCACGCACTGCTACCCCCACGCAAGCCCTTCTCCTTTGCTACTATTTGCCTGTGGGGGTTATTAAAAGGGTAGAAATAATGCAAAAGAAACCCTAGCTAAGCAAATAAAAAGAGAATACAGAATAAATGTGTAAACCTGGAAAGGAGTATTTGTCGATCGTTGGCATTTTATCTGAAAGCTCTCAGCTAAATCAGCAGCACACCGGGTTTGTTAGCATCATGAAGGCACTGGCTGTCCTTGGCTTGGACCTCCAGCAGTGCAGGGCAGTCTAGGCGTGGAGGAGGATGCTAAATCAGGCTTCATGGTGCCCTTCTCCTAAAGGTGACTGCAGTTTCCTAGTTTATATAGATGCCTTAGCAATCACTTTATGATGGTCACACAGCTTTGCTGAGTGCCTTTCCTTGAGAGCTCTTGGGAGTTTGAAAGAACCTGTTTTGCCTCTGGTTATTGAGCAGCATTCCTAGCAGCGACTATGATTCAGAGGCAAACACCTTAATGTGGTTGAGAAATAGCTTTTGGGAAAGTCAGTGTGATGTATTAATTGCAGCATTTAGATGCACTTAAATTATGGTGAAAAATGAAGCTTAAGGATGTCTTTGTCCATGAAGTTCAGAGGTTCACGCAGCGTAAGCGTGCAATGCTTGTTTTTTTATTTTTCTAATTTTTGTCAACATGTGGTAGTCTTTTCAAACTATTATTGCCCTGTGCAAACCTGAGAGGTACAACATTCTCAGGTTAAGTCTTTTTTTAAACTATTCTATCCAGTCCCCTTCACTGGGGTCCTTTTAGGATATCACTTCAGGTGGGGAGCTTTAATGTTTAATGTGTTTTAATGTTAGGCCAACATTGGTTTTGGAGGGTGCATTAGCCCCTGGCTGCACATAAGGCAAAAGGATCAGTGGATCAGTAGCAGCACCTTGTAAATCCCTATTTTTCCTCCTCAACGTGAAGTCTTCCCATGACCATCTCGTGGACTCGGCGAGGTTTGCTAAGCTGGAAGCAGTTTGTTACAGGGCTTTTCTCTTCTGGTGCCCTGGCTTGATAGAGCTGGAAGGTGAGCTGCTGATTCAGGCTGTCTCGCTGCTTGGGGCCCACACACAGCAGCAGCAACAACAATGTTCTTGTTAAACGGTTGCTCTTTTGACAGCTCTTTATCAGCTGATCTAAAGGAAATTGCAAGACACAGGTGCAGACAGCAGATGTGTCATCTCCTACAGATCTTACTTCCATGATATCCAGGGAATAAAGCTTTTCCTGCTAAAATCTGAATCTGTCCAGCCCCTTTCTTTCCAAATCTTGTTTTCTGTCCTATCTGCGTGGGATATGGCAGTGCAATCCCAAGATTAACAGAACACCAGAGGAGCTGTGGCTACTCAATATGGTTTGGCTCTTGCATGAGACCATCTGGGCAACACTTAGTAACCTGTAACCTGTGCTGTTTGTTTGCAGGCGCTCGTGTCAATGCCAAGGACAACATGTGGCTGACTCCTCTTCATCGAGCTGTCGCCTCAAGGAGCGAAGTGAGTAACAATCAATCACCCTGCTGTTGCAAGTAAACAACACGTGGGGTACAAAAAAACCCAGAAACATTTAAAGCCGTGGGTAGTCTCATGACGCAAAGAGGGGAAGAGTGTTGAGGGCACAGGGCCTTTAGCATTTCAGCAAGCTAAGAAGGACCAGCTTTTACAAGTTAGGTGCAGCTCTCAACTGCAGTTTGTGCATTCACTGCTTATTTCTCCTTGTGCTTGATTTCTCCTTGTCCAATGTTTTAGAGTACTCCAGTAAGTCGCACTGAGCTAGTGACCCTAGCTGAAGTGGAATTATCTGTAACAGGCTGGTCACATCATCCTCAAGCCATAAAATAAGGAGCAATATATCCAAAGGGATGTTGTACCAGGAGGGAGCATGTGTGTGTGTGATCCAGCACATATATTGCATAATTTGTTACGCTTAATTGCATGCCAAGGCATGCACTAAGTTTCCTGTTAGTTCTTTTGATTCATACATGAAGAGGGTTTGCCTGCATTTTTTTCTACCTGACAACTAGGAATGTTATGGAATTATCTTGGACTTTCCCCATTGCTATATTATGGTGAAGCATCTGTCATGAATGTCACTCAGGCATGACTGACATCACCACACCACAAGTTTTTGGCTTTCCATTTTTGGACCTTCCTGTACGCTTTTACCCTGCTGCCTAACACGCGGCTGACACAGTGAACCCAACTGCAGATGGAACTGGCCACTGGGGATGGTCAGAGGGTGGCCGTGGGCCAGGCTGATGGTGTCACCTCTGCAGCAGCCCCGAGCCTGTTTCTGAGCCTTGTTTCCCTGCTGGCTGCCATCTACTGAAACCCTCAGAAAAGGGCACGTGAGAAAAGGCAAATGCTACAATGAGATAAAATGCAAAAAGAAAAACATGTTGGAAAACCTGGAAAACATGTTGGAAAGCTTGGGCTTAAACCTTACAAATATATATGTAGCTGACGTCCTAGCGTAATCATTGCAACATATTTAGTTCTTCTTTTGATGTGTTGGAGTACGCAACCCTAATTTTCTGTGACAGTCCTAACTGAAAATGCATGAATTTTCATGATTTCGTGTCCAGTCTTTAACTCTTATGCTGCTGAAGCCCAGCTTCACAATGAGAGGTTCTTTCCTGTTGTGCTGGCAGTTCTGGTCCCTTATAAAATAAGTGACATAACAGAACAGGCTCTGTTGCTATTTCCTGGACAGTTATATATTTTATAAATATATATACATTTATATACATATCTTCTTTCTTCTTTTCCTTTCTTGACTTATTTGATAACTGGTAATTGATGATCACATACAAATGTTATTACCAGTCTTGTACAATGAAACTTGCATAGGATTCAGAAACTCTCTTCTTGCAACCTGCTATAAGTTGATAAAAATATGAGCACCTTTTTGCTCGTCTTTTAGTGACTTTTCAAGAGAGCACTGGGAATTGAAATGGTGATTTAGAAAACAACAGCTCTCAAGTTTGTCTGTGCAGGACTATTGACAGATGTATCAGCCACAAGCTTCATACAGTTAGATTTAAGAGATTTCACTAGAAAACTTGGGATAAGTAGAGATACTGGGCATATTAGCACAGAGTTCCACACAGCACCTGCATGCTGCATGCAGATATTGAAATTATGTAAATAAAAGAGCCTGTCTCTTGCTCTTACAAGCCAGAAAATTAAAATTTCTTAAAGGCATTAATATTTTGGCCTCAAGTCTAGCAGAGCAACAGATTTGCAGATGTGAACAGAGGTGCAAACGCTTTAAAAAATTACATTTAAAAAATTATCAGCTCAGACTTCTCAGTTTTTACTATTTACTCTTAAAATTCCTCATTAACTTCTTTTCTTTCTTCCCCAAGAGTTAAAATGCTTGAATTTTCCCACTAACTTCATATAGGATTGTTGTCCCCATTGGGAAGATTCCCTGCAAATTATCTTTAAGTGACTTTTAAAATAAAGGGCCTGTGAATTGAAAATATTCATGTTGGGACATCAACAGTGATGTATCATTGTAGGTACTTTAAGACCAGCAGTCTTACTAACGATGCAAAACCATTAGAGGCCGGTCTGCGGCATGGCTGTAGAAAATGAAATTGCTGGAGTCGGTTGAGGACAGAGGACTGAAGCTCCTGGTAATGGGTGCACGTTGCTGGAGCCTGCGGGCACTCTCCCAGGCCTGTCTGGACACAAAAGTGCTATTTATACACATATATGATGTGTTTGTTACTCATTAAGCATCGCTGGCTGGACGTACTAGAAAACTTCTCAGATTATGGAAAGAGAATAAGATCGGACACAGGATTAGAGCGCTCTCCCGCTTAGCAGCTTAAGGGCAGATGCCTGAGGAGGAATGGAGCAGAGCTGATTGCAAATGCTTGAGTGAGTGGGTCTCTCAAGAGAGAGCAGGACACTTTCTCACTGGGAAATACTCAGTTCTGAACAACAAAATTAACCTTAAAACCAACAGAATTAACCTTAAAAGATGTTTGGTCTCAGGATGACAGAAAGGATGTGGCAGCAAAGACCCTTGGCCTGTGCTCAGCCCCAGGGAGGGAGGGAGCACCATGGGAATGAGGGACACCAGCAGTGACCCTTGCCTGTGATTCTCATGTTGTTGCAAACCTAATTTTTTGTGCTTGCAATTTTTTTTTTCATTTTTCTCATTTATAAATAAAACTTAACCATCCACTGTAACTTCCTTTTCCAAAATAGCATGCTGCTCATTTTGTAAATAATTTTTATAACTTCAGTTTTTATAAGCTTGAATAAATATTTTTTCTAGTAGTACATAATTATGATGGTTGTGATACTGGAAGTTGACCAACAGAACAGGCTGGGATATCTCTGCCCAGGGAGGTTGTGGAGGCTCCTTCTCTGGAGATCTTCCAAACCCCCCTGGATGTGACCGGGTGCCCCGTGCTTTGGGTGCTCCTGCTGGAGCAGGGGGCTGGACTGGATGATTTCTAGGGGTCCCTTCATCCTCAACCATTCATCCCCCTCCATCGTCAACAACCAAACTTCAACCATTCTGTGATGGTTTTGTATGTGCAAAAATCCAGTAGGGAAATTTTGGTCCTGATGGCGCTGGTCTAAATGACAGCAAAGCCAATGTCTACTGAGGCGTTTGAGTCACCAGTGCCATTTCACTAAGCCGGGAGGTTGTTTAGATGAGTTAGTTTTTCCCTTTCTCCTGGCCAGGCTTGGTCCACAGGTAAAAATAACGTCGTTGCGAAGGTGGGCCCTGTGTGATCCACATGTGAAAATAATGTTGTTGCGGAGGTGGGCCCTTGTTTAGGGGTGGCGCTGCGTTGCCGTTGCAGGAGGCTGTGCAGGTGTTGATCAAGCACTCGGCCGACGTCAACGCTCGGGACAAGAACTGGCAGACGCCGCTGCACGTGGCGGCCGCCAACAAGGCGGTGAAGTGCGCCGAGGTGCTCATCCCCATGCTGAGCAGCGTCAACGTGTCCGACCGCGGCGGGCGCACGGCCTTGCACCACGCCGCGCTCAACGGCCACATCGAGGTAGGCCGCTTCATAGCAAAAAACATTATTTACTCGCTTATTTGTGTTTCTTGCCTCACAATGTTCAAAAATGGCAAAAATAATGAACTGGAAGAGTAGGGTTCTGTTGATAGTGAGGCCTCAAAAGGAGGAGATTGGTTGTATTGTATCAGAAGAAGGAAGAAGAAAGGTAGTTCCTGTGAGATGGTGGTTGTATTGGCCTTTAAAATACTATGCTTTAGAAAAAAAGTGTGGTATTACCATTGTAAATTTAAGTTTCTGTACTTTTGTATGGAGAGTATCAGCAACCTTACCATTTGCTGTTATTAGCTGATCCTTTACAATGCAGTGTATTAGAGGAGGTCAATTATGCAGCTGTATAATTCATGTTTTGGGAATATTTTGCAGGAAAAGCAAGTTGCTAAATGTATTTTCCGTTCCATTCTCCTCCTCCTTATATTTAGCACTGTATGATTGCCAATAGGGAAAGCAGCTTTTCATCTTTTAGCCACGGAGTGTAAATTCCAATTTCATATATGAAGTAACCTGGTTTCTCTCTGCGTGGTCATCAATGAGCAGCCTCAAAGGCCTTGGCCACCCTTCAGAGAAGCATGGCAGGAAATAGACACTCCTCATTGAACGATGGAAACTTTTATTTATGGTTTGCTTTTATGTGTGGAGGAATCCTGAGCTAATCTCTAAGAAAATACGTTAAGTGTGGCTTTAACTGTGTGCAATAGTTCTCTCTAAGGCCTATTTTACTTGTAGCTTGTTGTTTGCTAAGCTGATTTTGAAGGATGCCGAGGTCACAGCTGATGGGAGCAGCTCACTGTGCACTGTCAGTCCCCTGTGTGAGTGCCAAACTTCTCCCTCCTTGCAGCCATTGCTAGTTCTGTCACTGATGCACACAGTTTTGACCAGTAATTTTGTAATTACATCATCCAAAACTAAGGAATTGTGACCACAACTTTGTTTCTAAAATTTTGCTAGGATTATTTGCTGTAAACTATTTAGTGTCTGGCTTACAAGTTTCATTATTTCTTTCAGATGGTAAACTTGCTCTTAGCCAAAGGGGCAAACATCAATGCTTTTGACAAAAAGGACAGAAGAGCTCTTCACTGGGCAGCATACATGGGTAAGCTTTGGGTTGTTATTCCTTTTTTTTTAACTTGCCATTGTCAAACTGACCATTTGTGTTATACAGGCAAGAAGCAGAGCTTTCCCTGAAAAGAGAGCATGGTGCTTAGCCTGAATTTGGAAAGGGTGGTGTGCTGGGCTAAGCAGAGAGTGCCCGTTTATGGTTTTGCAGCTAGTGGCCTCAGTTGTCCTTTTAATGCAACTATTGCTTTAAAAGATCCTTTTGATCTCAATCCTGCCTCAGTGCATTTGGAGTTGAGAGAAAAAAAAGGTTATTTTAAGTTAGCTTATGCTGAGAACTACATTGTATAAAATGCAGATAAATGTGATCATATTTTTTGCTGTTGATCCTTGTTTAAAATAGCCCAACTATGATACTGTTAGAAAGTACCTCATAGCCTTTCCTTCTGTCTGATGCAAATTGTCATCTTCTTTCTTCCAAACTGGACGAGAGCAACTCATTCAACAATTCAGAATATCAGCAGTATTATCAAGTAGTTCTTTAAAAAAATCAAGTTACTAAATTGATTCATTTAATTTAAAGACATGATTTGTTGTAGTAGAGCATTATAATTAAAAAAAAAAAAATTACATTTCTGGTGATATTGATCATTGTAATTTAAGATCTTTCATGGTCGCCTGGCAATATATTTCAAGTTATAATGTCTTTCCCAAGAAGTCTTTCACATGATCATTGAAATTCTTAATTTTAATCCATGGAATTTTAATCCAAATTCTGGAAGTGATAAAATGGAAATTTTCAAATGGTTAGACAAGACTGTTTTCTTCTTTTTTTGTTTGTTTCTTTTGTTTTTTGTTTTGATATGCACAAACAGATGGAAAGACTCTTGCAACAGTTGTGATTTGGCTTTTGAGCTAGTGTGCTTTGAACTCTGCTCAGGAGAGGTGAGGTTTTTAGACTGTACTGGGCAATTCCACATCTCTTTTCTTCATCTTATATCTTTCACAAAGTCATGTATAACTTAGCAAATACTTAGCAGAGTTTAAAGCCTAAACTCAACTTATTTAGAAGTCTGTAGTGGAATTTGGACAGAATTTAGATAATGAAGTTGAAGCCGCTCATTCTAGCCCTCAGTTATTTGCCTGGATACTTTAAAATCAGGAAATGTAAGGACTATCCCTCAGTTTGCTTTGCTTTAATTTTTGTGGTTAGAGCCCTCTTGGAAACATTTGATACCTTCAGAGAGTAGAAGAAAGTAAAGGAAGAGCTGACTCAGAAGTTGCATTTTGAAATGCTCTGCTCTCTCCCTCCTTATTTTATAGAGAGCCTCATTCAGTGGTGGGCATTTATTCCTGAAGAAGGATGTTCCATGAGTCTGGTAGTCAGCTGTCTGTGTGACTGTTGAAGCTATTGTGATGATTTTAGTCTGCAGACTAAACGAATATATACAGCAAGTTCTTATTCAGACTTTTTACATGATATATTCATCATTTTTGCATAATTTATGTTAATAATAAAGTTGTGGAGAGACACAAATTTGATCCAGAAATCAGGGAATTCAGTGGAAAATCATGTATTGATTTTGGTAGGCTTTGGATCAAATTCTTCGCTCATTTGATGTTCAGTTTTCGGTTCTCGATGCTGGTGAAAAATCTTTAACTTATTTATTAAATAATATATATGTGTATATATATATAAAATATAAAATATGTGTTTTGTGAAGGAAAATCTGAATGTTAACAGTTGGATTTACAGATGATCCAGGGTCATCGTCAGCAAGGTTCTTTTGGGGGAGATTTATGTTGACATATTCCTGTGCTCACTGTTCTTTCTGCAAAAGGGAGAATGAAGCATGAACTTCAAAGAAAAAGGAGTGGCTCTTTTTCTTTTTAATAACTGGAAAATTAATATGCTAAGGGAAAATTTGACAGATGTGATGAAGATAAGTATGTATCTCGTGGATTTCTTGATAGTGCATGGAACTTGGATTAAAAAAATTTATTACTTCTTTTAAACTCAGGGCATAGTGAAACAGCAGTAAAAAGGGCAACATGTTAGCAATAAAATCCTGATTTAGAGGAAGTGATGCAGTGGGATGGTACATGCCTTGATTTCTGTCTCTCATCTCTTGAAGGTCACCTGGAAGTTGTTGCCTTACTGATCAACCATGGTGCAGAGGTGACTTGTAAGGACAAGAAGGGTTACACTCCACTTCATGCAGCTGCATCCAATGGGCAAATTAATGTAGTAAAACATCTCCTTAATCTGGGTGTAGAGGTACATTGTGTTTTGCTCTCTCTGTGGTCCAAGTTGAAACCCAGGCAGTTCCATCTCCATATGAGGAAGAACTTCTTTGCTGTGAGGGTGCCCGAGCCCTGGCACAGGCTGCCCAGGGAGCCTGTGGTGGTTCCTGCTCTGGAGATCTCCCAACCCACCTGGATGCGACCGGGTGCCCCGTGCTCTGGGTGTCCCTGCTGGAGCAGGGGGTTGGACTGGAGGATTTCTAGAGGCCACTTCCAACCTCAGCCAGTCTGTGATTCTGTAATAACTACCTTTAACTTCGACATTCTCCACCACTAGGAATGTGATCTTTTTAGATGGATAGGACTCGTGGAGGAATATTCAAGTCAACCCAGGCTCTTTTTTGTACAACCTTTCTTCTTCTCATTACTCAGATACCTTCACTCTCTTCCCAAGAGAAATCTGTAAAAAATCTTAAGCCTGATTCCATTCACAAAAAAATTCAATAGAAATAATTATTTTTAAAAGATTTTGGGAAAATTATTTATCCTACTTTCCCCTTAAATGTTGAAGCTTTATGGCTTGTTAAGACTATTATTTTCATCATTAGCTAGTCCTCATATCAGTTTTAGGCATTAAGTTGGCTTTTTAAAATTGCCAGTGAGGCAAAAAATTAATAATAGTAAACGTAAAGTGCTCAGAATTGAGCTCTCTGGGTTTATATTTTTGTCTATGAAATTCGCTGCTGAACAGTACACCCTCTGACAGCTCAAGCCTCCAGCTATTTCTGTTCCATTTCTGTTTGCAGTATGTGATGCAGTATGTAAAGCCATCAGCTGACACCTGTAATTTCAACTGTGTCTCCTTGTTTCCGTTTAGATTGATGAAATGAACATCTACGGGAACACTGCACTTCACATTGCCTGTTACAACGGTCAGGACTCCGTCGTTAGTGAGCTGATTGACTATGGTGCTAATGTAAACCAGCCTAATAATAATGGATTCACTCCCTTGCATTTTGCTGCTGCCTCCACTCACGGAGCGCTGTGTCTTGAACTGCTAGTGAATAATGGGGCAGATGTAAACATTCAGGTGAGACTTGCATTTTAGCTCCTCGGTTTTATTGTATCCTATTTTGCATATATCAAGAGGCTGGAAACTCTTATAATGTACTAATGAGGTGCAGCATGGCTTTAAGTCCTTCTTGGGAGAACTGATGGATGGAAGAAGAGTGATGCTGAGAATATTAATCATTGAACTGTTCAGATAAGATCAATTTACAATAGAGAAGCTGTCAGAACCGTGATAGGTATAATGATAGCCTTAAAGTCTAGGCCAGCCACTTTCCTGAACCACTGTCAAAATATAACCCTGGGAGCTTTGTCAGAATTTTGTCTCAGGGAGCAGGTAAAGCAAGGAACTATTCCCTTTGGGTGTTTGCCTCCCCTCAGCAATGTACATTTAATTAAACTTGAGTCTAACAAGTTCCTCTTGAGGAAGTGAGAACTCAAGCTTTTTTATTTGCATTTTCTATATGAAACTTGTTGCTTTTTAGGATATCTGAATGCTCTTAGGATACAATCAATGAAACTGAAAGGGAGTTGTTTTTATCCATTAGAGAAGGTACTAGCATAGGTATCAGAAGACCTAGGTCTTGGGGTTTATGTAAGATTTTGGCTATTCTACTTTAAAGTCTGTGTATTTCAGTATCCTGTCTATTAAACTGATCTCCAAGCTTTCAACACCTATGGTAAGACCCTTGAGATCAGTGGATAGCCAGTGCACATCTTTAAACGCAGAATTATTAAAATGATGTTAGGCATTGTGCTTGCCAATGAGCATGAAGCTCCATTCCAGTAGACATGACATGAGTGTTAAGTAGGTCACCCTACCCTTGCTATTCTTTCAACTCCTTGGTTTCTCCAAGCTCAGTTTCTTTCTCTAGACCACGGAACACTGTTCTTCTGTTCTCATACCTTTCCTTCCTTGTGCCTTACCTGTTTTCTAAACATCTTTTGTTTAAACATCCTGTTTTTCTTTAGATAGAAATTTATTAACCAAAACTTTTTAATATAGTAGCTTGTATTCTATGATGTATCTGTAAAATAAAAACATATAGGTTCTATCTCTTGAATCTCAGAAACTGCTGCAACTTAGCTTTGTCCTTCCCTTGCTTTTCTTTATTCCTCTTCATGCAATGAGAAGGGAAAATAATGACTAAGGGGAGATGTTATTTAAAAATAGTATTCAAGAACAGTACATCATCTATTGCTAGGCTTCTGCCAGGCATTGTGTACAGGCAACAAGGCTCTGAGGATGTTTGTCTGCAGACTGTTTCTAGCTCATTGCTAAAGAAGCTGTTACACTTCTGCAGTTATTATCATGACCAGATTCAGTCCTACAGCCTCTGAAGCAAGTAGAGGTTTTACTGAGCAATTCTTATTGCTGTGAGATTTCGAATTGTTGCCATTGCTGTGTGTGCTTCAAGGATTGGTTTTGTTTTCTTTCTGCTAGAGTAAGGATGGGAAGAGTCCGCTGCACATGACCGCTGTCCATGGGAGGTTCACGCGGTCACAGACCCTCATTCAGAATGGTGAGTCCATGTTGGGTCCAAAAAGGTCTGAAGGATGAACGGATTTTTTAGCTGTTTTGACGTATGGCAAAAGTACAGCGCCCTCTCAGATTCTGCTCTCTTGTTCCACTGTCTTGTCACAGGATTTTGGTTGTTAACAAACTCCTCTGTTTCTCCAACTGGCAATCGTTCATATAATTGTTTGTGATCCTTACCCTGACAACAAGATTTGAAAGCTGTCATGAGGTATTTCAGCAGCTTAGAGGAAGGCACAACTTTCTCATATAACAGAAATAAATAAATAAATGAAAAAGCTTCCAAGAGCTTCTGATTGTTTGGCCTCCCTAGGGAGTGAGAGCTCAGAGTCAGAACTCCCTTGAGTCAGGGCTCAGACCCTTTTGTCTAACCCTGTGCATGGTGGCTCTACTCGCCTTGCCTCCCAGAGCTTCACAGCCTAGCAAACCTTCCTCACCAAGTTTTGGATAAATATTCTGGAAGATGGACCGGTGCCACCTTGTTTGTTCTAGGGCAGGAGACCACCAGGAAAGTATGAAAATAAAAAATAATAGAAAAAAATGGAGAAGAAAAAAAAAAAACAAAAAGCCTGCAGTAACCCAGAATAGAATTTAGGATTCCTGATTATCAGTCCGCTTAGTTAAATGTTTATTTTGTCCAAGAATACTACAGTATATGATAAATGTTAGAGCTGGAAATCTGGCAGAGAACATGCAGACCACTATTTCTGTTTGTTTGACTACAGGCCCAAACTTGGACGTCTCAATATCCCTCCAGAGAGCTGCTCTGTGTGAGATCAATACTGAAGAGGGCTGAACAGATGCTTTACATTTACATAAAATTGTGGTTTTTAATGGAGTTCTCTGGTAGATTGTGCTTCCTTCAGTAGGAACAAATTGCTGTCATATCACTCCTCGAATAAATAGTAGTAATAAAAGGAGCTGGAAGCAAGCTGAAAGAAAATGTAGTAATGCAGTTTTTAGTTGTTTTCTGAGATATGCTTTCTAACTTACAGCTGCTGTTTGCTCTGTGTGGAGCCTCTGTATGAAAGTGTTGGCAGCTCTGTCACTGTTCCTTCACAAGAAGGAGAAAGTCCCTCCCCTTTACTCTTATGCAGTTACTCTAAGTCAGTTAGCAATATCATAAAGAATAATCTGAATAATTGACCTAACCTTTTGAGGTCACTTCTTACCCTTTTTCTGTCTTGCGTAGGAATTAATAGGTTCCTAACACAGCGGTGCAAATGCACCTCCCATCCAGAATTGAGCCCAGCTTGGCAAGGGCTGAGAGGAGGTACCAAAGCAAGGGCAACTCGGCACCGCTCCCGGCAGCTCCCTTGGCTGCTGTCAGACACAGGAATTGGGCCTATAATTGGCCTCTTCTGGTTGTTCTTGTGTAAGACACGGGGAAGGCACCCACAGCTTGCAGTTTGCAGCATGGGCCTTCTGGATGAATTCCCTTTAGCATTGTTGCAGAGTCGAGCAGCAACGACTTGAAAGAACGATGGCAGCATCTCAGCAGTTTGTTTTGGGGGTTTAATTCAAGGCAATCATTTGTGCCTTTAGCTGAGCTGCAAGTCCAAATTGTTATTTACTACTCTGTGTCCTTCTGTTCAGTGGTGAGGAAAAATGATGTCAAATATAGAGGTAAAACTGGAAGGAATTGGAGGTGAAAATGCTGCTGCCAGATAATGTTTGGTACCTATGTCTGACAGTTGGCAGCTTGCTGAGTGCTGGTATCTGGTCTTTGAAACAAATGTCTCTGTGGCCAGACTGGTTATGCTGCTTTCAGAGAGAGAACATTTGTAGTCAGTAGTTCACACTTAATCTGACTGTCAAACTGTATGAAAACATCTTTTGCAGGAGGTGAGATTGACTGTGTTGATAAGGATGGTAACACCCCTCTGCATGTGGCTGCAAGATACGGACATGAGCTTCTGATCAACACCCTCATAACCAGCGGAGCTGATACTGCCAAGTAGGTTGCTGCAGCTGAGCTGTTTCTAGTTGTCAAGTGTTATGTCCAGTGCCAGCAAACACAGATTCTCCACAGGTTAAAATAGATAAACATAATTATACTCCTCTTCAGTGGGTGACGTGGGCCTGAAATATGCATGCTTGGGAAGGCGGGAGGGCAGGAAGCGCTGCCAAGCTGTGAGGTTGTCAGCAGTGCCAGAGCCATTTGTTTTTCCTGAAATATTTCACCACTGTTGTTTGAGAAGCTCTGTACCAAACACTTCTTTTTGGGGAAAAAAGTGGGGAAAATAATCAAAAGCCAGCCAAGAGAATTATGTGTATATTCCTTTCTATCTAGGTTAACCTAATGTTCAGTGACATGTCGTACTCAGTGACTATCCCTTGTGTTGTTTGATATTACACAGGATAATCGATAGAAAAGCAATAGTGCAAAGCAGATGTTGCAAAATATTTTTGAGTTCCTTCTAGCTGTAGAATTTGCCTTGATCTTTCATGGTTTGAGATCTTCAGATGGCTGAAATAATAGGATCTCTCCATCTGATTAGTGGTTTTAGGGACCCTTTTATGAAGAGGAACAAGAAGTGGAAACCAGTTTAGGTAGTGTTTTGGGTTGTGGGGGTGGGGTGGGGTTTTTTTTTTTAATTTCTCTCACATATATATCAAGACTATGCAGAAAAGACATATATTATGGACTGAAGCGGTGGGAGATGCTTGATTTCGACGAGTAGTTGAGTATTCATTACTCTTATGATCTGATCATAGTGAAGTAATGGAGTGGTATATATTCGAAACAGACAGGGGCAACTTAAAAACCTGCTTTGGGAAAGATTAAAATGATTAAATGATTTGTCAAAATAAAAAAAAAAAAAAAGGTAAACCTGAAGGTAAACATACAGGTATAAGACCAAAGCAGTGTCATGCTGTAAGAGATACCTCTTCCAGGTTTTTAATAGCAGCATCTTATTCTTAAATATGAATTTTCTGCAGTTAAGCACATGTCTCCAAAGCATAATTTAAGAGAGTTTTCTGCCTACAACGTACCATGGAAATCAGTGACTACTTGATGACTTACTTGATTAAGAAAACCTGCTTCCAGATATTTTCATTTTGGTTAATTTTGATTTTGAAGATACTTGCAGCTCTCAGTGTTTCATTTCCTTGAGGATGTTTTATAAAGTGCCACTTTTGCTTGCATTCATATATATAATGACTGTCATGGAGCAAATTCAAGAGGTGGAACAGATGGTCAGGAGGCATAGGTAATATTCCAGTATCCAGTGATGTTAGCTGAGACCTGTGGAGTTTCATTCACATGAAGATTTTACTGTTTGAATAAATGTATGTTTTTCTTACCTATTTCTTCAGTACAGTGAATCTCATTCTGTCTCCTTTTTTTGAAGTTCATGGGAAATGAGCAGCAGTGGGATAACCCTCTCCTGAGCTCAAGGTTTTTCAGTTAGAGATTTTTATTTCACACTTGGGTGACTGGAATATTGTTCAGGAAAAAAACAAACAAACAAAACCCCCCACAACCTTCTTCCAGCAGCAGTTTTTTGTGACGTGAGAAGTCAGCGCTGAGATACCAGGCAGATGTAAGTGATGCTGCTGTCCTAAACAAGGAGGACTGTGCACTTTCATAGGTGTCCCTGAACTGGCTTGGAAGGAGAAACCTGCACAGCATTGCTAGAAGTAGCTGCTGACAGCTCAGTCAATCTTTGAGGCAATTGCATTTCAAGGAAAAAATATGTAGGCAGTGGGAGGAACTAGCTATAGAAGTATGATGCTGATTCACCAAGATGTGCATTTTTACAGAAACCAGCCAAAGCATATGCTGGGTGGAAATCTTGACTAACAGGAAATAAAATAATGCTTGAAATAACTAGATGGAGGAGGAGGAGGAGGAAAATGGCATATATAGCATATATAGCATATCCAATGGCAGCTTAAATGAATCCACAGCAAAAAAAATGCAGCCTGTTAACCTGTTTAGACAGATGCAGCAGCCTAGAGCTTATGCTCTTTCCTTATAAAGAACAGACGATCAGATAATATTTCAATAGCTTTATTCCAAGGAAAACATTTTGCAACTGGCAAATCTGAAATTCATACAGACCCACACTACACTGCCTAGTGTAGCATAGCGAAGCAGCAGGAGTGATGAATTCAGTGTGAAAGCGAAGGGTGGCACTGTGGATTCTGGAAAAAAAAAAGAGTTTTGTAAAAATAAACCAAATTTGGTCAAATGCATATATAATATAAAACACATGCAGTGTTGGAGAGAGCTATTTATCTTTATAAACATCTACATTTTCTTTTTTGGGGATTAAAGCTCCCGAAGTCATCATGATTCATGATGAACCTTTCATAGAAACAAGCTCTTACATCTTTGGATCTGTATCTGAAATTCTCTTGCATGCGGTGATCATGCTCTTCCGTCCATAAGTTATCTCACAGATATGAATTCATCTGCTATTTTTCAAGAGTTTGTCATTTAAAAAAAAATACTTTTGCTGAAGCAGCAGTAGATGCAAATCTTGTGGAGAAAGCTGGTTTCAGCACCTGATGTTTTATGTGCGCTTGGAGAACTGCCTGTAGAATAACATTTCTGGAATAACAAGGAGCTTTTTACAGAACAATAACAAATGGCAGAGGTCAAGATGTCTAAAACTAGGGGTCTTCCAAGAGCGCAAACCAGCAGCACGCTTGCTGACTGAAATAGGATGATTTGCTGCTTTAATAAGTATATTCAGTATGTGTATATGTTTATGCATTACATGTGCTAAGCACAAAACATACCTAAGGTAAAGACATAGATATTTTGGCTAGGATTGGGTGTGGAAAGAGTGGACTGGTTGCACAATGTGCAAATGTGGCAGGAGGAAGCTGCCACATAGAAGTTCTTTGTGCTGGGCTTGATGTGACTTGGACCTTAGGAGACTCTGTAATGAACCCCTTGTGCCTTTTCAGGTGTGGGATCCACAACATGTTCCCTTTACACTTAGCAGCACTTAACGCTCACTCAGACTGCTGCAGGAAATTGCTGTCGTCGGGTAAGTGACTTCGCACGTGTGTGTGGAGCTTGAGTAACATGCGTCTGTGCTGCCCCGGCCCTGGATATCCCCCGTTGCGAGCTGTTCGAAAGGCGTCCTGTGCTGCTGTGTGGTGTGGCGTCCGTTCCGCTCCGAGCCTTCCCTCACCTCCTGGAACTGTGTGTGGCGTCTGTCCCGCTCCGAGCCTTCCCTCACCTCCTGGAACTGTGTGTGGCGTCTGTCCCGCTCTGAGCCTTCCCTCGCCTCCCAGGCTGTGTGTGGCGTCCGTCCCGCTCCGAGCCTTCCCTCGCCTCCCAGGCTGTGTGTGGCGTCTGTCCCACTCTGAGCCTTCCCTCGCCTCCCAGGCTGTGTGTGGTGTCCGTCCCGCTCCGAGCCTTCCCTCGCCTCCCAGGCCGTGTGTGGCGTCCGTCCCGCTTCAAGCCTTCCCTCGTCTCCTGATCCATGTGTGGCGTCCATCCCGCTCTGAGCCTTCCCTCGCCTCCAGGGCCGTGTGTGGTGTCCGTCCCGCTCCGAGCCTTCCCTCACCTCCGGGGGCCATGTGGCCCTTTATCCCTGCCTCTCGCAGAGCATTTGTGTGCGGAAAGTCCTCCCTTCCACAGGACTTTCAGGAGCTGAGCCCCTTGAGGCAGAGGGAGAGCCGGGTGTGAGGAGAGCCGGCGCAGCCAGGCTTGTCCACACCTTGGCAGCTCAGCGGGAGCCTTTTCCCCATGTGGAAAGGCAGCCTGGAGCGCCCCTCACCGCGGGGGTGCCAGCAGCCCCTTTGGTGTGCAGGGCGGCCCCTTTCCCCATGTTCTCCTGTCCTTGTGTCCCACTGTCACAGCTCTCTCCATAGGGATCTCGCTCCTGAGCAGCAGGCGCGCGGTTGCGGCCGGGTGCTCGGAGCGGCGGTAGCTCCGTGGCTTCCTTCGGAGCCGGCACAGCTGCCAGCTGTTGCCACGGCCCCCTCGTTCTGACTGTAGTTGCTTGTGCTCTGTTTTTTTCCTGACTAACCGATTTTTCTGTCTCTGCGATGTTTCTTGTGGTTTAAATAGGACAAAAGTATAGCGTAGTGTCCTTGTTTAGTAATGAGCCCGTGCTGTCTGCAGGCTTTGCCATAGACACCCCCGACAGCTTCGGGAGAACGTGCCTCCACGCCGCCGCCGCCGGAGGGTGAGTGCCCCGCGCCACGGCGCTCCCCGCTGCCCGGGGATCCAGCCAGCGTGGCCGTGCCGTCCACAGCGGGAGTTTATGGTGGTGGAAGGGAAGCAAAACAAGTTAGCATAAGTGCTGGTTGCTTCAAGGCCCTCTTTTGCCATGGCCCTTGTGCAGGGGTTGTGTACAAGGCGAAGGAGAGAAAGAGAGGAGTGCAGGAGACTAAGTGTAGCTCACCTTCCTCCTTCCTTCCCTCTCATTTTTTGGGTACAAGTTTAAAAGTTTCTAAAAGAAAACAGTTTCTTTTTTTCTAAAGAAACTATGAGGAAGAACTTCTTTTCTGTGAGGGGCACAAAGTCCTGGCACAGGCTGCCCAGGGAGGCTGTGGAGGCTCCTTCTCTGGAGATCTTCCAAACCCACTTGGATGTGACCGGGTGCCCTGTGCTCTGGGTGTCCCTGCTGGAGCAGGGGGCTGGACTAGATGATCTCTAGGGGTCCCTTCCAACCTCAACTCTTCTGTGAGTCTGTGTGATTTTGTAAAGGAGGTTCACCAAACTAGAAAGGTGGTTGTCCTCTTGGAGTGACACATTACTGATGAACGATGGGGGCCCAGGAACAGGTGAAACGGACTGTAGTTTGTAACTCTAAAATATCCTGATTGGAACTGTAGCATCCAGCATTAAATTGTTCCAAGTAATCAGCATTTGCAAAGTTAACCTAGCAGGAGGAGAAGATGCTTGGCAAATATGGAGTTTTGACTCTTCCATTGATAACTTGATGCTCAGAAGACAGATAAAAATGGACCCTTGCCTGGAATCCATGGTTATAGCAAGCTGAAATGATCGTCCCCAGTGACTGCTTGACAGTCTGTCTAGAAGTTGTTTTTACTCCTTGGGGGACCAAGATGGAGATCATAGAATTTTCATTGTTACAAGCATCTAATGAAATTGTTCCAAATGCTGTTTTTCTTGTTCTTGTGGTACTCGTGTCATATTATGAACAGAGGAGGTATGATTTTTGCTAGAACTCACATTGTTGTAGCCTCCAAATACTACTTCTTGCACATGGCTAGACTCCAGAAGATTAATTAATGAAATGGAGGCCGAGGAAAGGAGGAGAGGCCACATAAGAAGCAAAAGTGGCTCATGAAAACAAGCTGTGTATTTTTGCAGTGCTTTACTGCAGTTGTCATCACTAACAAGTGTTTTTATATTTAGTAAGCTGTGGTGAGTGTTTTGTAGAAATTTTATGCAGTAACAGTTTTAGAACAAGGAGGAGCATACACCAGTATATTGCATCCAGTCTTCTTGCTGGAGCTGTAGAAAAACATTCTTTCTTTCTTCTTTTTCCCCTCCCTGAAACATGCCTGTAACTCCCATTACATTGATAGGAGATGTATGAGTATTAGGAAGAGATTTCAGTGGCCTGCTCTTGTGGTTCTGAAAAGTGATTCATTGTCATTGTGAATGACAAAGGAGCCTTGGAAAGTGCTAGGCTCCTTTACATCATTCTCTGCTTTACTCTCATACATTTGTTTGCTTGAATTACAAAAGATGTGAGACTTTAGCTGTAGCAGATACAAAGCAACGGAGCCCAACCCATCTACTGATGTAAATGCAATATTGATAGAAATTCAGATTTAAGTATTTATGTCCCTTATTCAGCAAAGCACTTTAGCAGGTGCTTAAATCTACGTGAGCATAAATGTAAAGCTAATGATTGTGATTAAAACTTACTGCAGGATTTGAGCAAACTTCTTGCTCTTTGAAGCTTTGCTGAATGGGGGTGGTCTTCGTTAAATGTCACCTTTTCGTTATTAGGCTGGCATTTTATAAGCTGGCAACAATTTCCTTTTAAAGTTCTGTTATGAAATAGCCATCTCAGTGTGGGAAGCATTAGAGTACAGCACCTTTTGGAAATCCCCAAGGACTCTGAATTCAGATCATATTTACTTCTCCTCTTGAAATACTTCAGTGGATGAGAGTTCAGATTTTTTTTCCCCTAGAAATAATGGAGTACATTTATAAAGCTCCATTAGTAGTTTGCTGTGGTTGTGTTTGGCCATACCCTCTTTCTGCATGGCAAGGAGCAGAACAACTTTATTTCTTTTGAAGCAAGGAGAGACAACCACATGTAAGCTGCTGTTTTGTTCATGCTTTTTCTTTACTTCTCTTTTCAGTAACGTTGAATGTATAAAACTCTTGCAAAGCAGTGGAGCTGATTTTAATAAGAAGGACAAACGTGGGAGGTACGTAAATTGTGAAGCTCACCTAATAAATAAATAAAATAGCAGATGAGCAAGAAAGCCTCAGTATCATTTGTTCCATGAAAAATACTAAACAGAAAAGTGCATTGGCCTTTCCTGCGGAACGCTGCTGTGGCAGTTACATGCCAAACTGACAGTTGCAAACTTCATTAAATACCTGACAACCAAGCTCACCCTCTTGAGCTTTCTGTTTTAAAAATAGCCAGGCGTAATTTTTCCTTATTGCTCTAACTGCCTAGATTCTTGTGCTTTTCTGCCCAAGACAGCACATGGGTGTTGATGGAATGGATTGCTGCTATTTGATATACTTCCTAATTGCCTTTATTGCCTTTTTTTTTTTCTTCTTCACCTATGTGAAGTGCTGCCATGAGTGTTGCTATGCTGGGAATGGAAGTAGAGTTTTCTCCCTCTGTTTTCTCCAGAATACTTACTTAGCATTTTGCCATATGCTTTTAGACAAAGCTGAAGTAGTCTGAAGTGGGAACCTAGTCATTCCCCAAAACTTTGGAGTGAGCTTAGAATACAGGAAGAGCTCTTGCCCACTGAAGGGCATCACTTGGCGTACTGCCTCTCACCTGGTAGCAGCTCGTGCCATTGTACAGTGATCCATGTGTTATCCCACAGTTATATGGGATGGTTATGGACATACCACCCCAGAACAGGTACAGGTACAGTGTGCTTAACATCCCATATTGCTAGCCATCCTGCGGCTTCCAAGGATACTTACTCATGGCATGGCAAGCTCAGGAGGTGGTTAGTCAATCAGCAGTGATTCTTGTTCCTGTCCTCTAAATTTCCACAGTTGGAGCATGTCAGGTATCTAAATACTGAAATGAAGCAGGTTCAGAGGTGAACTGCCTTTGGGCTGGTTTTTTATCTTACATCTTCCCCCAGATTAAAAGTAGATGATTGTAAGGGACAAATAAATGCGAATTGGATGAGGACTTTTGCGTAGCTGAAGGAGTCTTTGCAGATTTTAGCCTTTTTGAAAGGCAGCTAATAATTTTTGGAGTTAAATCCTAACAGCATCCTAACTCTCCAAATCCTAACCGAAGGGAGCTGCCACAGTGTGCAGATGAAGCCCTTCAAACCAAGCAACTGGTGCCGAGCCTCAGCAGAGGCAGGATTAAAGACTAAGACACATTCCCCCTCTTATGCTGCATAGCAGGCGGATTATCAGACTGCAGCTAACTCAAATTTAATTCTGTTCCATGGACAAAGAAGCTTTTAAACTCTCAATTATGTGTGCATAATAAAAAAAATAGCATGATAGTACTATGAAAGTTCTGCATAAACAGGTGAATTTATTTGTGTGAGTGTGCAAAGAAGCAACTGTAAGGGAGAGGATAGTAAAGCCCATCACGGCTACCGTGCTTGGCGTGAGTTTGCATTAGATGAGTGAAATGTCTGCAAGGTGCTTAAAAATACAGCTTTTTTATGCTCATCTTGGGCAGACATTCTAGCTGAATGATGCGCTGTGAGAGAGGGACTCTGTGCTTTGCTCTGCCTCCCAACTGCAAGAAAGTCACGTGTATAGAGAGCACTGGTAATAAGTTGTTTGCCAGCCATGAATTGCGGATCCCTCTGCTGCTAGGCTTGGCAGGTGCAGTATTTCCCTTATAGAAACACCAGAACCTCATATTGACACTGTGTTTTGTTAAATTAGCACAACTTAACATTTCTTTGTAAGAACACAGAGACCTAGTAACGTCCCTTAGAAGTCTGTAGGAGTTTGCTTTTATCAGTCATGCTGTATGAAAATCTGAGATAACAAATTGTGCTTTCATTCCAGGACACCTCTGCACTATGCAGCTGCAAATTGTCACTTCCACTGTATTGAGACACTGGTGACAACAGGCGCCAACATCAATGAAACAGATGATTGGGGGCGTACCCCTTTGCACTATGCTGCTGCTTCTGACATGGACCGAAAGTAAGAAAGCTGATTTGCATTTCTTAATTATAAGTGTTTTGATAGATCAGTGTCATACTACTAGTAAGAGGGTTCTCCTTAGATGTGCACATCACTCCATACTGAATTGCACTGACTGTAAAACAGAGTCCCCAGATAAGGTGGGACTTCAGCTATGTAGTTTGCTTCTGTGGTGGTGCATGGTTTTGCAGTGTTGCCACCTTTTCCTACTGAAAAGGCACCTTTGCCTTCTGTTTTCCTCTCTTCTTCCTGACAAGAGGAAGATCACGGAGTTTTCTGCATGGGCCCTGCCATCCCTTTGGAAGGGAGGGAGCAAGAGGCAGCAGCAGGAGAGGTTTTTCCAGATGGACTGTAGCGACAGACATAACAGACTGTAACAGACTGTAGCTGGCTGTTCTGCCAGACAAGCTGGCAGAAATGGGATAGATCTGCCCATCCACGTCTCCTCTATCAGAGCTCATGAAACGTTGACCCACTCAAAGATGTTTTTTAAAGACAGACAGGACAGAATGTGCTGGTCTGGTCAGCTCTGCACCTCATCCCTCCTTCCAGCCCTTTTTCACAAGTCCTGTGGTTGGTCACTGCAATTTCTAATTCACAGTTTGTTGTGTATCTTGGCAATCAGTTCTTTCTATCATATAAAACAGACTCAGTTATTCTTTTAGTTCTCTCTTGAAACTATTAGCCACCTGTATTTATTTCAGGTCTTCCCAATCTTCTCATACTTCCCTGCCTCCAATGGACTATTTTCAGGACTTCAGGCTTCAATGGACTATTTTCTTTGATTACTTATATAGTAAAGTCTGGTAAGGGGATTGATATAGGGTTCATTCCCAGCATAATACTACCTCAGAGCCTCTCCAGGAAGTCTTCTGCATAACCTCATAGTAAAAGTCTGGTTGTCATAGCAGAACATCTTCTTAATCATTTCTTAACAGCGTCTTAATCATTTGCTGTAATAATTCCAATACTAGAAGCTTCTTGCCTGTCACCTTCAAACCTCCACTGTGCTGAGTAGACAGCAGTAGGATCCTCAGAGGACTGCTGGAGAGGAACTCTCATGGGCAATGCAGTGTATGGTGATATGAAGGCTTTTGCCACTGGATATTTCTAATTCTGTTGGTGCCAAGAACTGTGATTCAATATGTTGTTTTTCAGTCTTCCATTCTCTGTAGATAGGGCTCCTGCATGTAAGCAAGCCTGATTTTGTAGGTTAGCACGGTTTGGTTTTTTTTTTTTGTTCTGTTTCTACTGAATGGGGACAAACTCCCAAATTTAGGCAATTTCAGTCCAAAGCATATTCACAATTTCTAACTTAAGGTTTGGGCAATTCAAGTGGAAGGAGAATTCATGATGTAACAAATATTAATTGAGAGGCCAACCTGCTGTTTCAGCTCTGTGGGTAGCTGTTGGTGCTTATGGTCTTCAGAATGAGTGAACTCCTTTCTCCAATTTCATTAAATAGATGACTGGAGTTTCTAAGTATCTGTTGTTTCTGCAGTTCACCTCTTGTTCAGACACTTGGATACTTTGGGGATTTCGCTGATTTGCACTGCATTGAAAACAGTTATAGGTTGGGCTGTTACCTGTAAACCTGATGTTGAAAATTCTGGTCAAGGCACAGGTTCTTTATGTCTTTATGAGACAGTGAACAGACCCTGGGTTTGTAGAACAAACCATATTGCTACCTACCCACATGAAAAATGTCAAATCTTCCTATGAGAAACAGGAACCTGAGCATTAAACAAAGTGTGTACGTACTGTTCTGCCCTGTGCATAATCCATGCTGGAGCTTGCATGCTGCATAGTGATTCAGATTAGCAAACTGTACTTCTACAAGCCTTTTAACCCACAAATTTGTAGTGATTCATGCTAGTTTGGAAGTATGTAGTCTGTGGTCACCTTGGTGGCCAAGTACTGTCTGGGTAAAGATAGTAATCCTCTGTCAGCTGTTCATCTGGCTGGGGTGCATGGCTGCCAAAATGGTCCAGGAATACTAAAATATCGTCAGCTCTTTGAAGAATGTAAAGAATATATTCTGGGATATCCTTGCAGGGCTGCCAAGTATCTCACAGAAAATGAGAAGAGTCAGCAACACAGCGAATGGAAGTTCAAGATAGACTAGAGCTGGAGTTTCCTTTAGCTCCGTGTCTCAAGTATGAGAGAAATAGAGCAGGTTTCTGTTGGAAGAAGCAAGTTCTGGTACCCCTGGGCTGTTCTTTGCAAAGGCAACTAAAGACAAGACATGGGGAAAAAACATTACAAGAAGTGATGAACGAACTGGGTTTGGTGGAAATCAGAGCCCTACAGAGTTTTGTTTTGTTTGTTTGTTCTTTTGAAAAGTAAGTTTGAAAAACTTTCTACTCCCAGGCCCAGGTAGTGCACATTTATCCTTGTCATTTTTACTGTTGGTTGGAGGTCAACTGAAGGCAAGACTGGGGATGGGTGGCAGACTTCATCAGACTCCCTGATGTGGTACTTTGAAAATAAGTTGCGTTTTTCTGTCCTCTGTGTTAAGAAGAAAGAATATTTTAGGTAACTCCCATGAAAATGTTGAAGAACTTGAAAGAGCCACTGAGATGAAGGAAAAAGAAGCTGCATTGTAAGTTTGGTGTCCACACAGCAGTTAAGGCTCCATTCATGAAGAACACCACTGCCTTGAGCTGCAGCTTATGCCCCCTGTTTTGCTCATTCACTGCTCTGCTAAAGACAACCCTTAGCATTAATGAGGGCTAACCTAAAGAAAAAAGCTTTTTGCTCTTGGCTGTGTCCGTATTTCTAAATAGCTTTGCTTCTCTGCTTTTTGCTCGTTCCTTACTGTAAATGTGCTGCTTTACTAATTTAATAATTCTTCAGCATCGTTCACTTATTTTAATGTTTTGCACTGGATTTGTTTGCTGCAAAGACCAATGGCTTCCACAGTGCCCTTGCTCAGATTGATGTTTTCATCTAGCTGCTTACTGTTTCCGTGTTTTAAATTTTCCTCCATTTTTTTTTTTTTTTCTATGACCACCTTGAATTCATTATGTATTTCTAGCTCTGGAAGAAAGCAATAATAAGAAAATGATGGTTTTTTCAAGGTGAGAGGGGTAAAAAGAAAAAATGCCACTGGAGCCATTAAGAGCAGAAGTGATCCATTGAAAAAGATGTAGTTTTGGAGAAGATATTTCCATCAGAGAAATAAATATATTTATATACATATATGCCAGGAAATGAGATAGAATAAGACCTTATTTTTCAGCTTATCCCCCAGTATGTGTTTGGAGACCCATGATTTGATCAGTAAGTTTCTACATATTATAGTAGTGATTCTAGCCCTTCTGAATGTGGTACATCATGGCACAGAGAAATGTAGTTTCCTTTCTTTTTTGTAATAGAAAGTCATATTACAATCCTGAGTGACAGCAAAGACAGAGCTGAAGACTGTTTTCATAATGAAGCTCTTCAAAGATGTTCAGAGACAATCCTGTGTAAACAATTGAACAAAGATACAGGAACAGCTGGTGAAAAGCAGGATATCCATAAGGGATTTAAGGCACTGCTAGAAACACAGAATTAACAATGTCTCCAGTGTCACTCCTAGTAGCAGTGGGGAATGAGTCTTGCAAGTATTGAGAGCTGCCCATTAAACTGAGAAAAATTGTTCCCAGGTGTCTAGAGTTCCTGCTTCAGAACGATGCCAATCCATCCATCCAGGACAAAGAAGGGTACAACACAGTGCACTACGCCGCTGCATACGGGCACCGACAGTGCTTGGAGCTGGTGAGTGTGCTCAGGACGTGGACATTGGGGTCTGCTGTATCCCCACAAAGCTGGGGATACCTGCAGCGTGGTGTGCAGATGTATGCAGCACAGTATAGCGTAACTACACAGTAATCTTGGTGATCGACTTTGTTCAACAAGCTTGTGCTTACATGTCGTGTTTGAGTGGAGCTTATGTGTGCTTAAAATGACACACATTATTTTAAACTGGGGTTAAAATATTCCCTCTGAATGTGCCAGTCACAGAGGATAGTTCCCAGTGCATGAGGGTGCATGTGCCTTTTGTAAATGGCCTGTTAACTAACTAGTATATTGAAAGAGTAAATAGCTTTTAAATGACGTGTGCTGTCAGCTCTGTTCCCTCAGTACCTTTTTTCCATCTGAGGCAGCAAGAGCAGCACAGATAAATTTTACGACTGTCAATGTTAATCTGGTATGCAACATTATTTTCACTTTTTTTTAAAAAAAAATCCTTCATCTGAGTAATTCAAAATCACATCTCACAGAAAGCCAAACATTTTTGTCCAAAAATAGGTTTGCAGGATGCGTAGAATGGGCTGAAGGAAGTCTGTAGGTTGTAAAGTAGCTGTGGTGAAGCTGGAGGATCCATTTTATGGGCCATCAATTACAGACAACAACCTGCTGTTGAGGCTCGGTGTCACTTAAGCATGTTAGGCAAAAAAGAAGAACTGGGAATGCATGAGGCAAAGGGGCCGCGTTTTTCTTTTAATTTAGAAGGCTGAAATGCAAACTGTGGGCCAGAGACTTGCCATGCAGCAAGTGCTGTGTTTGAACAGAAATTCAGTGTTTTAGCATGTTAGTCCTCCCATATTTGTGACGATAGCTGCAGCGTAGAAACCAAAACCGTATGATATTCAGAGTCGAAATCATACATTTATTTTCTGTGCATCTGTGAAGGAAAACTGCCATGAATTTTAGCTAGTTGCATACAAAGGATTGCTATCCTGTATTTGAGTATCTACCTGAAAGTTTTAGGGGATAGGGATTTTGCTGGTAGGCTTCTCACTTTGTCTCCCGCAGGCAAAAATTACATCAAGCACCACAAAGTGTGCTTGATTAATAGGCTCATTATCTTTATAGCCCCCATTAGAAGAAGATGATTTCATATTATTCGTGTGAGAGTTATCCCTTAGTCCCCCTGGAGGGATAGGGAATGGGAAGATGGATAGGACCTCACTGCGCCGCTGGCCGTACCTGGCACTTTGGCTGCAGGTCCCGTGTCCTCTGTGCACACCTGGGACAAGGATTTCCTCATGAACCACAATCATTACTTCTGGTAGCTAAAACTGGCTGCTTTAGTTATTCCCAGCTAAAGGAAGCAGCTGCTAAGCTTTACCTGCCTCTAGGCCTGACTTGTATCTATAAGCCCCTTCTTTTCCACACAAGCAGAGTGAAAAGTAAGTCATCACATGGCATCTTATTCCTCAAGCCTTCTGCTTGTCTTCTTGGCAGCCAAAATAATGGAGATCCAGCAAATCAACAGCACCCCTTGTGACACTGGGATTTCCTCAGGCCTAGACCCTGCCGACTCCTGTTAAAAGCCCGGACTGCCTTTGGGCATTAGTGCATTACACAGGTGCAGCTGCCTCTGTCCAGGGTGGGCAGGGCTGGATTTCCTGCAGCACCTTGGGAATACTTTTCATTTTTGTCTCCAGTGCTGTTTACAAGGAGAACAAGATTCACAGTATTTTGAGTGAAATTAGGAATTTAGGAGTCTTGCTTAAAAATACTAACTTTGAACCCCTAATAAAAAATATTGTAGGAACTCTGACGTCTCGAGGAGAAATAAAGAGCAAAAAGGTCGTATCTCGTGATGCAAACAAGGGAAGTTGGTGGCCACAGTTTGTATTTCTTTGAGGTGCTTCTGCTTATCTGGGATCTTGGCGGGGTAGTTGTTCTGAAGTGAGTGCTGCGGTGTTGCTAAAAAGAGGAGAGCGGGAGTAGATTCCTGAATTCCTCCTCCATCTGCAGCGAGTCATTCCTGAAGGCGGAATGGGGACATGGGGGCTTCCCAGGCAGTGAAGCCCAGTCTTTTGCATCTGCTTTTGTTTCTTCTAAAAACAACCTCATGTTGCTTTAGGTTATGGGGACTGACTTCTTTAGTTGTCACCTGCATTGACATCTGCTGTTTTATGGCAGTGTCAAAGCTGCTCAAAGAGTTGAGGAGAAGGGTTCCTCCAAGGAGCTGGGGACGTGTGCGGCAGCCTTAAATACCAGTACATGCATCGCATTCCAAGTTTGGGAATAATATCTGATTCTTCCTAATCTGCCAAATGCAGGGAAAAGAGGATAGGATGGGGCATGTGGCATCACGTTGGGTCACGTAGCTCTGGAAGCAGCTGGGGACACTGGCTTTCTGCGGGTCTCGTCAGTGGCATTTATACAAGCAAAGATGTGTACCTGCCTGGGCAGCCTTTCAGAAGAGAAATATGGGCTGGTTTCAAGGGATGCATCAGCTCTGATTGAATCAGGTTAAACTAGTCAAACTGTTTGTGTTTACACATACAGTCTGAGCTTGTAGGATTGCTTTTCCCCCATGCGATGTGTAGCACTTCACCTTTAGTAAGTCAATAATTCCGAGATTATAAATGACTATAAATGTCCTTCCTTTGTATAAAATAATACAGAGGTTAGTTTTATTACTGTCTTCTGTGTTACCTGAACCAGCTGATGAGAGTCTTCGATGTTGTATTTCAATGAAGCTGCTAGGGTTGTGTTTTCCCTGCGTAGGGACAATTACCTGTTGTGACAGAACAGGAAAGATGAGGCCTGAGATGACCTCCTAGTTAATATATTCTTGTTCAGTGCTGAACATTGTAACTAATGGCCACTTTTGATTAAGCTTAGGAGTTATAAGCTATATTGTTATATAGTTACTGCAAAAAAAAAAAAAGGAAAAGGATGTTCAACTGTTTTTTTCAGTATCAGAGAACTGTGTTATTAATCTTGGCACAAAGCCAGGGGAGAGGAGCTGGTTTTTGTCTAAAAAGGCAATCATATAAAATATCCCAAGTCGTTAAGGGCACATCCATGTCAGAGAAATGGAGGATTCAGTAAAAACATAACTCCATAGTCCCCTATTTAATTGTTTGTTGCACTTACAGAATAAAATCAATCAGTAAATCCTCCTGATGGTAGCAAATACCCTTATTGTAAAAATAAAATCAGAGGACTGTGTTATTAATCTTGGCACAACGCTAGGGGAGAGGAGCTGGTTTGCAACAGCAGCCTTACAAGTGCTGTTAGCTCCTGAACAGCAGAACTCAATAGCAGCAGAACTGGCTGTGGATCTGGAAGCTACTGGGTTCCCCATCAAAATCCTGGTTATGCCTGACAGAATAATTCAGTGTTGTGAGTAATAAGCTCATTAAGCTTAGTCTGCATCAGGCTAAGTGGCTTTGAGGCACCGAGATACCTTTTGTGAGGGACTCTAAAATCCCACACTTTGTTCCTTAAGAGCCTGGTAATTCTCAATGTGTTTTTTTTTTTTATCTACTCTTACAGCAATTATCCGCCTTTCTCCAGAAAACTTTTGGAGCCCTCTCATGGGTTAAGAGAATTATTTCTCTATTAAGATTTTGATCCTGAAATTTCAGCAAATGATGTGATTAAAAGCGATTAAACTCAGCTCCTGTGCTAGCCTTATAGACTCGGAGGGGAGGCCGGCGTTGGGCGGGAATAGTGCTTGGATTTGTTTGCTCTCTAGGGGAAATGAGGGTCAAAATAACCCTTTGCTCCAAGCGTGCTTTGTGTAGCTTAGAAGTGACACCCGTGTATGCAGAGTTGGCTGCTGCATCTCCCCGTTTGCATCTATGTTTGCATCTACCTTGCTTTTTCTTTGGGAATTGCCTCTGAAGATGATGGCTGCATCCAGCAAGTGATCCTGGGTGTCGTTAAACACTGGTTCTTTCATTTGCATTAAATAAGGATATTTTAACCATACTAAACAATACTTTAAAGAGAAGAACAATATTTTAAGTTAGAGATGGCCCCACGTGCTAAGACCAAATATGTTTCTTAAACCTGCCCCAGTCATACTGAACCCCTGCTGTGGGATTTTTTTTTCCTTGGCTGTAGAGAGGATTTAACATTCATATTAGCTATTAATATATGCACAGCCACTTGCATATGAGTGATACTTACATTAACACACTCTTCTTTGCCAGTCCTAACATTTTACTGTTCCCAAAACATAAAAAAAAAAAAAAAACAATGCTTAATCTCCTAGTTTTTTCCATATCTTTACATTAATGCCCTTGTTTAAGAAGAGATCTGTGAGACCTTATGCACTGTTAATACTGCTTGGTGTTCTGCCTGATTTGGATAAGATTATCCTTAATGTAGATCTATTAAAACTGAATTGTTATACTAGTTGTATATATTATAGTAATATTAGTTGTATATGTTATAATAATATATATATTATATAAAAATAGTTTTTTATATATATATATACTAGTTGTATGTATGTGTGCATATATATATATACACACGTGTGTGTGTGTGTGTATATATATAGTTCTAGACTACTAATTGCTATACCAACAAATTCAGGGCTCAGTGAGCTCCTTATTCTTTCAAAAAAAACAATCCCAAAACACTGTCTTGTGACTGACTTGTCACCTCAGCAACCTTACAAGTCAGAGGTAGTTCCTTATTATGCTTTCCTTTTACAGCCTCCTATTATTATTTTTTTGTAAAATACTCATTTTCAGGCATAAAGGTTCCTGGAGACTAACCCTCTGGGGAATTACCAGGTAAAACACTGTACATACCAGTGGTGCATTGACACGTGTTGGATTATCAGCAACGTTGTCAATACCGTGCAGCTTGAATTGGAGGAGTTGCCAGGGTCCTTGTTCTGTTGGGGCAGGCATTTTGGTCCCAGTTAGAGCTACACTTCCTCCTACTGAGTGAATAAAACAGCCCCAATTGTAAAGCCTTAAAATGCTTTGGCATCCATTGAAATGAAAAAGATCTTATGAAAATGTGCATTTTATTAAGTGTGTTAGCCAGTTTGTGGTTACAAGCATTCGAGGATGCAGTGTGTTTTGGAAGAGTGTTGCTACAGAAGCAGGCTCTACTTGGATAAATTCATTTAAGAAATGACTGTGAATGACTCACAGCTTTCTCATAATTATTCCCAGTCCAAATTGTGGGTCAGAATGATCCCCTAGATGTAGCTTGTGTATGTGATAACCTGTGTGTTCACGAAACAGCACTTTCTCTAATGTGAATTCAACTGAGTGCTCTACTCCATAAATGCTTTTCCCTGTGATTTCAGCAGAACTAATTAATCAGGATAAGGATGTTAATGACAAAAACAAATACATTTAAAAAAAAATAAATTTAAATATTATATCTTTACTCTGTGGAAAAAAATCCTTGAAAATGTTTTACAGGAAATATATGAAGTATTTATTAGAGTCTTTCAATATTCACTGCAGATAGCTGAGAACAAAATATATCCTTGCCTGCTAAGTCCTTACCTGACTCCATCCAAGCAAAAGTCAAAATTGGGCAAGAATTCAAGAATATAAGTTGACTGTTTTGTTTAACTTGCCTTATGTTATTAGGATTAGGTGTTTTGCAAAGGCTCTTTTAAAACCTATCCTTTTTTTTTTTCCTTTCTTTTTACAGCTTCTGGAAAAAACAAACAATATATTTGAGGAGTCTGATTCGACACCTACAATAAGTCCTTTGCATTTAGCTGTAAGTATGAGCTGTGTATAGTGTCTGATCGTTATCTCCATAATAATTCCTTAATCTCTGTTTTGGAAGCAGGTCTTATCATAGACTTGTTTTAAAAGAGCAGGGAAGGAGTATAGGCCTAGATGTAACAAAAAACGATTTGGAGCTGGAATTGCTGATGAAGCTTTGTTGAAGTTGCCTGATGACTCTTACTGACTAACATGTGAGTAAGAGGAAAATACCGACACCAAAAGTACAGTTGAAAAGAAAAGAAGAGAGAGAGAAAGAAAGAAAGAAGAGGATAAACATTATTTTTCCACACTTTAACTGTAAACACCCACAAATGTCTGATACGTTTGAAAACCTCCCTCTATCTGAATGCCTACAGCCATCCTTACCCAGTTCTAGCAGTGTCCATGTGAATATGGCCACACAAATGTGTCTACACGTGTCTCAGCCAAGATTTTATACCAAGACACAAAACCATGGCTAACATTACTATACTTTCAAGAAGGAGGATATACTGTCTGCCTAGCACCTTCAAGATAGACACTACTATATATTTTTGTGAAAAGCTGGCTTGTTACCGGTTGTTTTCTAAGTAATATTGCCATGGAGCAGAAAAGCCGGCAACTACATCACAGTTTTTTTTTCTTGGACCTGGGTTCTCTATGCCCTAATCTACCCTTCCTTTTTATTTGTCTTTGCCTTTCCGCTTTCTCAACTCAGTTTTTTGGTGCAACAGGGAAACAGCCCTCTGTTCACTCTTCTGCACCCTATTCTTCCAAGTTTTCGGCTGTCAACACTACATAAACCTGAAGTTCAGTGACTGTTTTGTTCTTCTGTGTTTCTATTAATTTTCTCTTCTAATCAATTGCTCCAGCTTGTATCATCCACGATGTAAATGTAGGTAAAGTCCATGTGACCCTGGAAGTCTTGGACAGAATAAAAAGGCCTCAAGACAACTCTGTCATTTCTACAATGTTTAGGAGATGATATTAATGGCAGATTTCATTCTTGTGAAAATCTTTGTAAGACATTTCTTTGTGACTCTGAGGGTATGCTCTGTTTTTCCCCTTACATGCCTGATTTCTCATTTCTAGGCTTATAATGGTCATCACCAAGCCTTGGAAGTCCTCCTCCAGTCTCTGGTGGATCTGGACGTTAAGGATGAGAAGGGCCGCACTGCTTTGGACCTGGCTGCCTTTAAAGGACACGCAGAGTGTGTGGAAGCTCTCATCAGCCAGGGTGCTTCTGTCACTGTAAAAGACAACGTCACCAAAAGGACCCCGCTCCACGCTTCCGGTGAGTTTCTGCTTGCTTGTTCTTGCAGGGTGAAGCCTACCACACAGAAGGAGATAGCAGTTGTCTTTATCTGTCTTCTAACACTAGTTAACTTAGTTCTTCTCAATGGAAGAAGATTCTGATGTGTGTTGGGGACAACTTGCTCGTTGAGGTCTTGGAGGTAACTCTTACCTCTCCGTTCCTTGATTTTCTATCTGTCCCCACAATTGAGTCCTCTCTCACGCAGAATCCCATTTTTTTCCACGCTGCTATTGCTCTGCCCTTACCTGCTTGCCTCTACTTTCCCTTACCTCTCCATTACCACCTCCTCGTTGTGATGTGTGATGATTCCCTTACGTCCTCTTCGTTGTTCCTGGGCCAAAAGATCAGGGGAAGAGAGAACGTTTGCCTCAGTGGTTTTCCTAAAGAAGAAAGGTTGAAAATGCAGGTAGGCTTTCACTTGGTGATTAAGTTGTCCGTGTTCAAAACATCCAATCTTTTGCAATGGCAACATCAGAGAAATTCACCCCTCTTTAGGTGAATTAGCTCCTCCTGAGCCAGCTAATGGGTTTGTGTGACTGGGCCTCCTGCCTTCCTCCTGTGCTAAGTTATGAATGTTTCATAATTGACTGGAAAAGGTAGAATTTGCCATTTATTTAAAGGTTATTATTTACTATGCATCTGTCTGATAAATATGCAGAGGTATCAAAGAGAACAGTATTTCAACTCGCTGCTCCACAGCATAGCAGTGTCCTCTAGTGGGAGCTAGAATCAATACTTTATTTGACAGCGTTCATTTTCTGGGTCAGACCTGATTGTTTTTCTGTGTTTCTTCTTCTTGCTTAGAGTAAAACATCTACTCCCTAAAGGCATCAGTTTTCTACGTGTGATGATGTATGTGCATCTCAGAAGCACAAGGTCAAATACTTCTTAGGAAATTCATATGCAGTACTGAAGAAAATCTAGGTAGTAGACTTAACAGCATAATCAGAAGAGAAAAAAAGCTTTATGGATGCTTAAATTTTGCAACAGAACTGAGCACATAATTAATTTATCGTGGGTAGCGATGTAGACGTGTACAATACAAGAGTACAAGTTGGAAATCTGAGATTGAGATCGATGAGAAGGTTTTGTTTGGTTGTTTTTTTGTAAAAACACCCAATTTTAAATCCAGATGTTGCTTGCCTCGTTAAAAAGACAATTTGCTGCTTTAGTTTAAGTCAAGATGGGCACTGTCACAAAACTGCAGTTGTGTTGGTCAAAAACTCTGCTGCGTTCACTTCAAATGCAACTTGTGTCTGATGAACAAGAGGTTGGCTTTGCCTTGCAGACTTTGCTTGCATCGGTAGTGCCATGATTTTTCATTTATTTAAAATTTTGTTTGTAGTGACATAGGTTTCTTATTGTTGAAGCTGAATTGCGTGGATTCTGCAGTACTGAAAAAAGTAAATATTACCAAAGTCAGAGTTTTGACTCAAAATATGGTCTGGGGGTAGATGTCTTGCAAATGTGAAAAGTCACATTTCTTACCCTCGTACAAATTCTTACTATGTTCTTTTTCTTAGTGTTTTTTCCAATTGCCCTCATCACTGTAGATGATGCATCGTCCTTGTAATATTAGTACGAAGATCCACTGCAGATTTTTCTAGTCTGTGGTAATTTCAGCTTCTCAGATGAAAAAAACATTTGCAGGGGTCCAAGCAAAATGTTCTTTGAAACTACAGTGAAACAAAATAGATCAAATGTGTATTTTAAAAAGAAAAACAGCAAAAAAAAAAAAACTCTTGAGTCATAAAAGAATAAATAAATTGAGAACATGTACGTTGAACAGAAAGGAAAATACTGGATGGGCAGGTTGAATATTTGAACTCTCCTTGAAGGAAAAGGCTGTTTCCAATGTCTTGAATTTAGAGGATTTTCAGCACGAGATAACTGCATTTATAATCTGTCACCGGAAAAGCATCCGGCGTGTGTTACCTGACGCAAGGTCTAGTGGCAGGGCGTAGGAAACCTAACCCAGTTTATGCTGGGGTCAAATGAAAGACCTTTGTATTCCCCCTGCAGCTTTCTTCATCTTAGAAGATGTTGCCCTCCTTTTTCCTTTTTTTCCTTTTCCCCCCTTTTTTCCTTTTCTTTTTTTCCTGTCTCCTCCTCCTCTTTTTCCTGTCTCCTCCTCCTTTTTTTCCTCCCTCCTCCAAAATACATATAACTAATTCAGGAAAACGTATGCACTAATATCCCATTTAGAACATTCCACTCCAGAAAAATCTGTAGCATTTTTTAAAAAATCAGCTAGTGTCCAGCCATTCTAAAAAACCAATCACAAACCCATTATTTTTATTATAGTGTTTCCTAACAAAACATTTTATTTTAGCAAAGAATGATGCCACCTATGGGTCCCTCGGCGTGGTGCCACTGCAGCAGTGGGAATGTAGGAGCTAGATGGGAATATTTTGCAACAAGTAGCAGGATTCCTGCTGAAGGCTCGGGAACACACTCGCCTTCCATCTTCCCACTCACTCAGGTGCAGTTGCTGATCCTGATGCTTAGGGAGACTGGAACGGATGGATCCAACTGAAGCATTCAGCGGAGCTGTGTGCAGGAAAACTATTTGTAACTTTACTACAGAATAATTCATCTAATGAAGTTTTTTTTTTTATGTTATTTTTTTTTCTCCCAAGTTCCATCTTTCCATCTACTCCCCTCAGGAAATAGACTTCCTTTTGAATCTCTAATATGGAGAATTTTCTTAGCTCAAATTATATGTTCCCAGTATAATTTTATTACTACCAGTCTTTCCTCTTCCTAGCTCGAGGAATCCATTGGAAATGCTTCCCTAGTGCTGGTATTATCATTTTGTAGGCCAAACTGATGTTCCCTGCAGGGTCTGCAATGCTCAGCCATCGCTCCTGAGAGTTTTGGGGATTATCTGTTCCAAAACTCCTTTACCAAAATCCTTTTCAAACGCTGGTTTGAACAGTTCTGATTCTTCCTGCTGGGAGAAGGAATATCTTTTCCATATGGCAGTGACTCATCGGCCCTGCAGAACTGTTTGTGTTATGTATATGGTATTACTTTGTGGTAAATAACTAAGAATATATTCACTGGGGAGCGCAACTAAGGTTATTTTGGGATGAGGGATAGAGAAGCTGTGAAGGTGGGCACCGTGTATCTGCCACAGTGATGTGACACGGGCTCTGACCCAGGGTTTTGCAGCAGCCCACAGCGTGTAGGCAGTGCAAATGCATGAGTCTCCTGATAAAAACACAGTCTGTATCTACGGAGTACAGAATCAGTGTTTGGGGGGTTATTTTTGGATTTGTTTGCTTGTTTTAAAAGGAAAATGCCATTGTGTCCATCCCATGAGTTGCATAAGTTTAAAGCCTGAAGAAAAGTGGGGGAAAAAATCCCAAACACGGATTTTTGTCATTCTCATAGATGCTTGCTTCTTCATAATAATCTTGAAGAATTTGCCTCTAGAGTCCCTAGAAAAATTCATGAGCCTTGTCCTTTTACTTCCAAAACTTGGAAGTTTTTTGGAAACTTCCAAAAACCTAAAAAAAAAAAAAGCTTGGTCTTCCCACTCTGCAGGATTTTGAGATGTTATCTGGTTGAGTAGAAATCTTCTTCATGGCGAAAATCTCAGTTTCTGTTCTACTCGTTTGTGATTTTTGTACATAAAATTAAAAAACAGAAAAAAATATCTTTGAACTATCCTGGTCCCGAAAAAAAGAGCTCACGACTTCATTAGGACAAGTTAACCGAAAACAGTGAGAATGATTGTTTGTGAACAATCATTTTTGATGCAATTGTTTTATAAACAACTTTATTAAAAAAATAAATAATTCAGGTACCTCACTAATTTTGTGCGCGTGGATAAGTATCTGTAATTGAATATTTGAGTTAGTATTACAAGTGTTTGGGTGTAAGACAACTTCTTAAGTTTCTTCTTTTTTTCTTTTCCTTCTTTCTTTCCTTCTTTCTTTCCTTCTAGTCATTAATGGCCACACGCCGTGTTTACGATTGTTGCTAGAAGTTGCGGACAACCCTGATGTGACAGACGCCAAAGGACAGTAAGTTTTCTTTGTGATGGTTTTCTTTCAGCTCTGTGATTCAAATAGCATCTCAGATTGCTGACTTAAATAAATAAATAAATAAATAGTTGAAATACTGTATTTCCAGCACTACTTATAGAATTGGCACAGACTACAAAGTAGACGTTCAGTTGATCCAAGCCATGTGGAAAACTTGAGCTTCTGCCTCAAACTTTAAACAATTCGTCTTGGGGACTTAGGGCCAGATTCAGTAAAAACTGACAAGCTCCTAAGGTGTTTCTGCAGAGAGTCTCTTTTTTTTCTTTCCAAAAATTAGTATTTCAGGTTTTACTTGGCGTATTAGCGTTAACAAAGTGGGCCTTTTATTCAATGTGACATCCAAACTTGAGCTGATCCTACAAAAAGTGTTGCTTCTCATTAAAGGATATATGAAGTACAAATATGAAGTATGCTTTTTTAAAGTGAAAATATGAATGATTTTAAGCACTCACTTCGGATGTCTGGAATATATATATCCCTTTGTGCTTATATTTTAAATGGCATTAGTCTTATCTAAAAATAGAAGTAGAATAGATCCCTTTCAGGAGAAAATTCTGAAAAGGAGAAAATGGAGAGAAAAAAATGGAGAAAAATGGAAGGTGGGGCTGTAGAACAATTTCCTCACGTGTCTTCCTCCTCTTTGAACAGTTGCACAGTGTTTTCAGAACAAATGCCTTAAGCAGCTGACAGTCTGGTAGCTGATGGGGACACTTATTCAGGATATTTTTTAAGTATAGTAGGGTTGACATTAATTGTACGTTATTAAGAGAACAGATTGTTTTGAGTGACGCTGTTCTTTAAACTCCTTAGAAATGAATTGGTTTCTATTTTGCTCACGGTGGTTAGCTATTGAACAAATAATTTCATATAAAACGTCTTTGCTTGGGTTTTGTATAGATGAGTGCAAAGTACAGCGAAAGGAATAGGATAGTGGGTAGAGATGGAGAGAAATGGGGTGTTTCTGCTCTAACAGTGACATTTTATAGCTGTGACTGCTTTTGTTTTCTAGAACCCCACTAATGCTTGCTGTGGCATATGGGCACATTGATGCTGTTTCCTTGTTACTTGAAAAAGAAGCATCTGTTGATGCGGCTGATCTGCTGGGATGCACAGCTTTACATCGAGGGGTGATTTAATTTTATGATCTTTGGTGATTTGTTTTGCTGTGATGACGTTTTATTTGTAAATCCAAGGATACTCACTGGAGGGAAATATGAACAAGCACCATCAAAGAGGTGAAAATCGGGGCAGATCTGTTCTCAGTAATGCTTTCCCTTTGACTTTATTTCACATTCATATTAATGAATTAGATCAAATACTGATTAGCCCAGTATCTCTGTCCCTAGGGTTTTGCTGTAGCAATCACTATTCTGTAGTAGAAATTCTGAAAATAATTTGATTAAAGGAACTGTCAAGCAGTTATTTTCGTATTTCTTGGGAGAGAATGGTTCAAATAAGTTTGATCTGGAGACAGATTTCGGTTTACCAGGTTATCACAGATGCTCATGGGAACACGGGAGCTTTCATCTTTGCCCTCTGAATCCCAGTTAGGCTGTTTCATGTTCACACGCACCAATCATATGCCCTATATCCCAGGCATAAAGCTGTCTTATGTCAACTTCTTCCCTTATTTCTTCGTTACCAGATCATGACCGGGCATGAAGAGTGTGTTCAGATGCTCTTGGAGAAAGAAGTGTCTATTTTGTGTAAAGACTCCAGGGGCAGAACCCCGCTGCACTTCGCAGCGGCTCGGGGTCACGCCACGTGGCTCAGCGAGTTACTGCAGGTGGCACTTTCAGAGGAGGACTGCAGCTTGAAAGATAATCATGGCTACACACCACTGCACTGGGCTTCTTACAATGGTAAGGTTTTCCCCATGGGTTTTTGCCAGGTTCATATGTGGCTTCTATTTTAGGGAAGCCTGATTTGAGGGGGAAAAAAAAAAAAAAAAAAAAGCAGCCTGTGCTTTGACAAGCTTGAAATGGAGGAATCAAATTATTTCCCCTCTGCTTGGTCTCTCTCTTTCATAGTGTTGCTTGTTTCAGTTCAGAAGCCAGGGAAAATTCAGTTCTGGGCTCCCCAGTATAAGAGGGACGTGGAGCTTCTCGAGAGGATCCAGAGAAGGGCAACCAGGATGATTAGGGGAATGGAACATCTCTCGTATGAAGAGAGGCTGAGTGAGCTGGGCCTGTTTTCTCTGGAGAAGAGACGGCTCAGAGGGGATATGATTAATATGTATAAGTTCAGGAAGGGAGAATGCAGGGAGGAAGGGGACAGGCTGTTCTCACTGGTGGCCAGCGATAGGACGAGGGGTAATGGCCACAAGCTGGATCACAGGAAGTTCCGTCTCCAGGTGAGGAGCAACTTCTTTCCTGTTAGGGTGACAGAGCAGTGGAACAGGCTGCCCAGGGAGGTTGTGGAGTCTCCTACTCTGGAGGTCTTCAAAACCCGCCTGGATGCCACCCTGTGCCACATGCTCTAGGTGTGCCTGCTTGAGCGGGAAGGTTGGACTAGATGATCTCTAGAGGTCCCTTCCAACCTTAAATATTCTGTGATTCTGTGAAAATGCAGCAGTACATCCCAATTGCTCTGCGTTTCTTAGGGGAATATTGCAATTGTTGTGCTCGTTTGCTGTGATTTGGCTTTACTGCAGTCAGTGGTAAAATCCTCATTGGTCTCTGTGGAGCCAGGAATCTCCTTCCGAGCCACCACCCTCTTATCTGCTGATGCAAAAGACCATCTGCATAGATAGTCTGAACTGAACGGATTATTCTGAAACAGATTATCTGATTTTTGCTGCTTAATATAAGGATAAAGCTTCTTAGTACCGTTATTTAAGACTGTCTTTGGAGATCTTTGAGGCCACATATGAAAACTCATTTAAAAAGAAGCCTTTTTGTTTTCCTTTCCCATTTTTCACTAAATGTCATTATTAGCCTAAATCTATTCTGGCTGCCATAAAAAATATTTCTAATTGCTAGAATTTTCCCGCCTAAACACTTAAATGCATGTTGTGTTCAGCTTTGAATTTCAAGTGTTAAGCTCTAACCTGTATAAACCTAATGTCAATTGGGTTAATTCCTTCCTTTGTGCAAAATGCTGTGAAATGTCTAATCTCTTGTAGGTCATGAAAACTGCATAGAGGTACTATTGGAACAAAAATTATTCCGCAAATTCTATGGTAATAACTTCTCTCCATTGCACTGTGCCGTGTAAGTAGAAATTTCCAGTAATAAATGCAAATACATCGCATTAACATATGTCTGGAAAAAAATAACAGTATGATAAGGAAAAAAATATTTTTATTTCAGGTAATAGCTTGAGCGAATAAATTTAAACCTGATGATAAAATCACTTTTATCCTTCTGCTGAAAAAAATGGTAAAATAAGAAGTATTTTGCTTAAATTCAATACATCTAAGTTCTTTGATGAACTGCTGACTTTGAAATGATAATCTATGCCACGCAGGAGTGATGTTCTGTGCAGAGGCCCTGTTTTGTTCAGGATACCCTCAGCTGAATTTCATCTAGGCTGACTCCCTGCAAGGTTTCTTTCTCCTTGGAGAAAATCTTTGTGCTGAAGGTTTGCTGCATCTTACCCAGCTCCTGGATAAAGGGGCTGATGGGCATTAGAGCTTCACTCTGCATCCAGAGCCCTGGCATTGCTTGTGGAAAACAGAGGTGCCTCTTGTGAATCACTTTCTGCCTCCATGCATGTGTTTCAGGCACAATCTGTATTCAGGTAAAGCAGTGCGTGCTCAGACAGAAAGGATTCCAATAGAGCAACATCCCGACTTTACATAATATTACAAATGCAAATACATTTTGCAAATAATGGAAGACGGCAGCATTTTGTAGGACATGGCTTATTAAAACATCTAAGCCATCAGAAGAGTAAAGAATTAAGCACTGTGGATCCAAATATAAATCTTCCTATCTCCTGCCAACTATTAAAAAGACTGAATTATGAACTCTTTGTTCTTCTAAAAGAATGAATATTATATTCCAGAAATAATGCTAGGCATTATTTTCCTTTCTACAGTCCAATGTCACTAGAAAAAAAGTAATTTATTTGGTATCAAACCTTAGAATTATCAATAATAAAAAACAGGGAGATAAGAACATTTGAAAAACACTGATTTTATTGTACTTAAAAATAAAATCCATTGCAGCTGAAACATAGTGTTTGAAATCTGAATTTCCAGTGGTTGTTTAGAAAAAAAATACAGTATATGCTGTCTTTCAAACTAGCATACAACTCTCAAGCCTGTTTAAAAACATATTCAAGTTGAATACAACAGGACTGTCAATAACCCAAGCTGGATGTAACTGGCTTAATGTCCTGTCCTGTTACAAAATACAATTGATTTTCATAATGCAATCAGACAAATTTCTCATAACCAAATTAATCAAGCAGTGTTGTTTGGGTATCTTCATCAAGTAAACATATTAAGGATTTGAATTGGAGGAGCTTTCATACTGTAAAAAAATACAATAAAGCTTTTTATATACAGGTATGTATGACTGCTTTCCAGATTCAGGTGACATTTAGACTGTAGTGAATGGTTTTAAGGTATTAAGTATTGAAGCTTTAATCCGAAGGATTTTGCTGCATTCTCATTTCACTTCATGCACAGTGAATAGGATCAACTTGGCTGTAGAGATTCAAATTCTTAGTCGTAGATGCAGTTTGATTAAACAGAAAGATGGTGAATGATCAGTAAAGCATTAAGGTGGAGGAATAAATGTAAATTGTAAATAACCAATGAGAAATATTAGTGAGAAATTGTAAATAACCAGTGAGAAATATTAATGAGAAATAAACTACATTAATGTGGGAAAGTGACAAAAGAGGTGGACTTGTTACCTTTCTGAAAAATATTTGCTTTTTGCAGAATTAACGATCATGAAAACTGTGCATCGCTGCTCATTGGAGCCATAGATGCCAGCATTGTTAATTGCAAAGATGACAAAGGAAGGTAATAGTTTCTTAAATAAACTACATTTCATCTTCCTGACTCTGTCTAGCATTTATATTTTTTTTCTTAATCTCTTAATCTGGAACTAATCCTTATCTGATACGGTTGAGCTAAGACTTGCCATGCTAGCTCTTTACACAGCAGCTTAAACTGCAAGGAAGTTAAATGGTGGCTTGCTCATAGGAAGAATATGATGAAGCATTCAGTTTTGCTGTTAAAAAAAAAAAGAAGAGCATTTTGTTTGCTTGAAACCTCTCTGGCTGTAGGCTGTTTTCCTGGACCTGCCCAAGCTTTGCAGTGTTGTGAGGTGTGAAGGGCGGGTGGAAGCGGCGCGGCGCGCTCGCTCACGCGGCGCCGTTGCTGTCGCCCGCAGGACGCCCCTTCACGCGGCAGCCTTTGCGGACCACGCCGAGTGCCTGCAGCTGCTCCTTGGGCACCGCGCGCACGTGGACGCCGCCGACCGGTCGGGGAAGACGCCCCTCATGATGGCAGCTCTCGGCGGGCACGTGGGCGCCGTAGGTGGGTACGTCGCGGAATCACAGACCCAACAACTGAGGTGGGAAGGGACCTCTGGAGATCATCTAGTCCAGCCCCTGCTTCAGCGGGGACACTCAGAGCACGGGGCACTCAGCCACATCCAGGTGGGTTTGGAAGATCTCCAGGGAAGGAGCCTCCGCAGCCTCCCTGAGCAGCCTCTTCCAGTGCTAAAATCCTTGCCCTGTTCCTCTGCTCCAAATGCTGCTGCAGTTACCAGGCCCAAGGTGCTGCTCACTTTTCTTGTGAAAAATAAGAGAAATCCGTTACGTGTGATGTCTACTTGAAGACGTCTACTATGTGGATGTCTACTTCCCCCACCTTCTTTTGTACCTTAAAGCGTGGTCCACATTTGTTCCCAGGATAGGGTGATTCAGGCAAAATCTGCTGGTCTGCAGATGGGAATTTCATAAATAAATGAAGATGAGCATGTGTTTGGCAATTTAATACCGATGAGGTATTAGCTGTGCTTTTGATTGCTGACTATCTGCACAAGGGCGGTCTCTTCTCATTCATTATTTTCACTTCATAAAGCTTATGTCATGTAAATTGATTAGTGTGTATAAAGAAATATATCGAAATAGGAATAGATTTTTCTCCTTTGTTTACACATGTTCATCTGCCTATTGGGTTTGTTCGCTGATTTTTTTTTGTTTCTGTACTGCAGACTTCTTGGTGAACATTGCCAAGGCGGACCTGACATTAAAGGATAAGGACTTGAATACACCTTTGCACTTGGCTAGCAGTAAAGTAAGTTGAGGACCTCTGTATGCTTCCTATGCTCCTCACAGTTTATCTCTGTTTGTGTATACTCCTAAAAGAAAAACAATATTCAGACATAAATAAATGATGGTCAGACGTGGTAGAGAAGGGAAGAGGGTATTTACTGAGCACATGCTCAGTGCATTGAAAATTGAGAAATATACAGTCTCTTATGACTTCTGAAATAGAACACTAAGAGAAATGATGGAAAATCCTTTCAGATTTTACCAAATAAGCTCGTTGTAAAATTGAACATTAATTCAGAGAGGAGAGGAGAAAAAGGAAAAAAAATCTTTATTCTTACTCTCCAGTTCCTGTGGAAGTGACCCCAGTTTGTCCTTAAGCTCTCTTAATAGTATAAACAGTGTCACTGGTTAGATTTGGTGGTTGTATATTTTCCACTCTTTCTTCCTGTAAGTTCTTTCCCTTCCTGTTAAATGCAATTGCTGCTACAGAATCTTGTTTTTGCAATTAAAAGATCCATGGGATTCCTTCTCCTGTAACTTTTCTTTTGCCGTTCACAGTGTGGATTCCAGCTCTGACTGTGTCATGCAGATTTGTAGATCCATGAGTCTGCTTCCCTTCTTAAAGTCCTCCAGGCAGCTGTTCAGGGCCCTAAAGAAGGCCACCTGCACCTTCTGGTGCTGAAACGGTCTCAGAAATGAGGACTCAATCTGTATTATTTCCCGAGTTTTATTTTTCCAGACTTCTCACAGTGAAGGACCTTTGTGTCAGTTTAATAATGCAAAAAAAAATCATTTAAAAGCCCAAGAAGTAGTATTACATTTTGAGATTAATCCATCTCTTTCTACAATAACGGTTTCTAATAAGTAATCAATTGAATGCTCTTGATTTACTAACTTTCACTTTTATATGTTCTTTCTTTTGCCTCAGTTTCAAATTCCTTAACAAGTGAATATTATGTTTTTAATACAGGGTCATGAAAAATGTGCCTTGTTAATACTTGACAAGATCCAAGAACAGAGCCTTATTAATGCAAAAAATAATGCATTGCAGACGTAAGTATAGCTTTAGCCTCTAAAGATCTGTTGTTTTACCAGAAAATTCTGATTTTTGAATTCATGTCTCAGATATTTTTCATGGAATAAAAAGTAGACTTCAGAATTTTTCAAGTGCTTGCCCTTGAAAGAATCAAATTTATTTTGCCTTTTCCCTCTATTCTGACTCTTTGGCTGCCAGGCCTATGCACAGTCTAGGTGAAAAATAATACGAGGTCATTTATTTGAAGATGATATCAAAATACACATTCATGGACAGGTACATATGTTTTATAACTTTAATGATAAAAAAAAAGGCAAAATGCTCTCTTTCTGATGCTGGATATGCTTTAAGCATTGTCTGCCTATTTTTAGGAGTCTATTTTAACCTGAATTTGAATCAGGCCTTTGTAGATGTCTCCATATTTGGCTTTTGTAGACCTCTCCATATTGCTGCACGAAATGGCTTAAAGCTGGTGGTGGAAGAGTTGCTAGCCAAAGGGGCCTGTGTCCTAGCAGTAGATGAAAATGGTAAGTAAAATAACGCCCTTTGACAATCTTCAGTAGCACCTAACAGGTAATTTTAAAACTCATTGAAGCAATAAACTTAGAAGCTGGTTAGATAACATGGACACTTTTATCCTTTCAAGGACAGAGAATAAGCTGTGTGAGTACCTTAAAAAATAATGCAACAAAACACAACCCAACGGGCTGTTACTGTTGATTTTATATAAATGCGTGCTGTAAACATCTCGGTGGTCCCCTTTATTGTTCATTTTGCATGTATTGTCAACAGTTAGTCTTTTTTTAATGCTCGAGTGCAGTGGTAACTTGAATTTCCTAAACATGCAAGTGGCACCGGATAATTCTGACGCCTTGCAGAAGAATTAAGGATTATGCATTCAATCAGCGCATGTTTAATGGGTATGAAGAAAGCCATCAACATATGTTTGATTGTATCCCAGTTCATTCTGAGATCAAAGCTGATGTTTGCCAATTGTACCACCTAACCAAGGATGTGAGTGAAAATGGTTGTCTCATAAAATACCGGGTTAGTTAATTCATTTGGTAATTTTGTTCCAGATCTCAGTGAAGTCCTTCCTTAAACACCTTATAAAGCCCTCAAGTTGCCTATACTGTGCTTCTGTAATTGAAGTTTTTTTAAATGCCGTCCTAAAATAAGCTGTTGTCTCTTAAAATGCTGACTTCAGTTGTTAGTGTAACAGTTCAGGACCTCCGTCTTCCCGTACCTGCACAGTAATAATAATAATAATACGTACAATTATTGCCAGACATTTGAGATCTATGGATGAAAACGTTAGGTGGTGAGTACTTACTCTTAACCACTTACAACTAGGCATACCTGCAGGAATGGGTGCTGCTGAAAGCATCTGGCTCCAACATCTTCTCAGAGAGGACAGCAAAAAGTAAACCAGAACTAGTTTCTAGCCACATTTTACTTTTAAAACTGTACTTTTGGATCCACCTAATGTATACATATGTAATGAGAGACCATTACATTGCAACTTGATACACATTTTAATTTTTCTTCCTTTCAACTGTATAAGCAGTTGAGAAATTTAAATAAAATGTTATGTAAAGAATAATCACCTGGGTAGCTCCGTGGGGGCAAAGAGGCTCTTTAGGGTAGGCAGTCACTGCAGTTAGTGCTTCTGTGGGTAGTGGGCAGTTGGCCACAAAGCTGAGCTTAAGTTTGCTGAGCTCACCTACGCTGTAAGTGTCGCTGTAGGTGTAGGTGTCAGTAGCAGTCACCGCCTCAGATAACTGCTTTTGACTGAGTGATCTGTGAAAGAATTTGTTTGCTTTTAGTGTACAGGAGGATTTGTTGGGCTGCGGTACACACTGCAGCCTGCAAAACGGACAGGTAGCAAGTTAACCCAGGCTAAGTGTTTCAGGCTCAACACACATCTTTCAAGGATGTGTCGCTTTGAACAGGAACCAAACTGAGATGAAGACAAACTCTAATAGCTCCCCAGGACTCTGCTTCACTGAGATTTTTATTATATTCACTTTATATTTAAAAAGTACGCTGTCCTTCCCCAATACAGTCGTTCTTTTAACATAACATAAATTTGGGATAACTAACTGGCCGCAAGCATACCTGCTATACATGTATCACATGCTCTGGTCTTATTCTTTACTCTTATAACTTAACTGCTAAATAAATTGCTTTCTGAGTTGAGCGGATAATCAGCTGATCAATCCTTGAAATTGTGTTAATTCCTCCAAAATGTTTTTAACCTAATACCTTTTATGTTCTAATGAAAGTCCTTGCTCTCAGAATGAGACTTGTTCATCTGTACAGAAACTGAAGCCGGTTTCTGTCCGTGTTGCTCTATACTTCGTGTTCTGTATTTACCATATGGTTTGTGCTGTAGTCCTGTGTTTAGCAAGTGCTTCTATCCATCCCGTGAAGCGTGTTTGCTGTCTGTTTTTACCAAAACAGTGCTTGTTGCGCTCACAGTTAATGCCCCATGAAGTGTGTTTTTTCCCCAGCATGTCTAATTTTAAGTAACCCCCCTCAGCTGCCTGGCATGACTGCAATGAACGCCCATCTCCCGCTCCCGGGGGCACCTTGGGGTGCGTGGTAGGAGGAACGCTCGGCGCCGCTCTCCGGACTCTTAGTACTAACCGTTGCCTTGTCTGCGTTTGTGCCCAGGTCACACGCCAGCCCTGGCTTGCGCTCCTAACAAAGACGTGGCTGACTGCCTGGCGCTCATTTTGGCCACCATGATGCCTTTTGCTCCTGCCAGTTCAGTGACGACTTTCAACTTGGTTGGCTTTAAAAAAGACCCGTTGGGCAGGACACATCTCTGCGATGGCACCGCTGTGGGTGGCGTTAACTCTTGCGGGAAGCCCTTGAGTAATAACCTAGGAACGGAGGACGGGTACAATGAAAACGATTCTGATTCGGAAACATTTTGACTTTTTGGCATTCAAAGCTTTTTATTATTATTTAAGTTTACTTCCTTTTTTGTCTTTTTAAAAGGCTTAAGTCTCACTGCTATACTCTTCATTATTATTCTTGCCAAATAGGTATTGGAAGATTTGCAGTATTGCTAAGAATCAAGCCTTTAAATAACAAACTTAGGGGAATTTACTGGAACGCATTCCCATTTAATGTTCTGCGGCTTTTCAACTTCCTCATGTTTTCTTTAGGCCCTAAGTGCCCCTGTGGAAAGTCTCTACCTCTTATTTTAAGTAGAAAAGGAGAAAATGCCTCTTTGTGACAGCACAAGTAAACAGGGAACTGTTTGTAAAATGTACTTATATATTTAGCTGTACCTTTAGTACACAAATATATTTCCAGTGTAGTTTTTCATAGATTTCAGCCATCATCCCCTCCCTCTGTTTGTCTGTTTCCTAGTTCCAGGGGCTCTATTAATTAGATAAAGTTATTACACAAACCAAAGGCAAGGTCGTAAATCTTAACACTGCCTGTATTGCTTTGCTACAGGAAATGAAACATTTTACATTCTGCATGTGTTAAGCACTTGAACAGACAGAAGGCACTTTTTGCAATTCGTAGTTGCAGCACACAGTTAGAAAAATAGAAATTTGGAAGGCCAAATGCCACTTGTCTCGCCACAGACGTCAGTGGAATCACTTGCGTAAAATGACTTGGCCCTTACTTTTATTGTTTCGATTCAGCACAAACGTGTATGATTTATTTGCACTACAGAATTAGGGTCATTAGAAGTTTCCGTCACCTGAGCCATTAACCAAGAATCTACTATCAGCGAAAGAAAAATCAGATGTAGACAGAGGTATATCAAAATGCTTAAGTTGCCAACTTAAAGGGATTTTTTAAAAAAAATATATCTACACTCAAATAGCTTTTACTGTAAATAATCTTGAAATTTAAAATACTTTTGTCAGAGCTTGGATGAACAGCTCTGAGCAAAGGTAGAGCCGTGAAAAGGTAACACCAAAAGTTGAAATACCAAACAGAAGAGAACATAAATATATACCATGCAAGGGACTGGAGATGCAGACTAAAAGGCCTATTGTCACCAGCTTTTTAGAGCAATGTCAGCATTGTGAATATGTCTACTCCTTCTGCCAAAGTTTCTAGGTCGAATGGACCCCGATCCTCATCTGCAACAGATGTACAAAAGGAAGAATGAGACTTTAAAAACAAAAACAAACTCAAACAAAACACAAACAAAAGCCTATTGTGAACTAACCAGCTGTACCAAGAGGACCAAAATGCTTCGGTAACTAGAAGACTTTGCTACTTTTCTTTTTTTCCTCAAATGTGAGGGACAGAATGAAGTAGTTTTTCTACACCATAGAAATATAAAATCTTGAGATAACAAGTAGTCATGAGAGTATTTTACGTTTTATGACACAGGTTTCAAGTTGACAGCTTGACATTTGTAACTGATGTGTTGACCACGCTTACTTTTTCCAGGCTAAAGAAAATGTTCGTATTCTTTTTATGTAAATGTGTTTGTATTTATTTGAAACAAAGCAAATGCCTAAGAAAAATAACTATGGCTTGTTCTTCTTGTTAGTTTTCATACATCCGATTTGGCATAATGCAAAATGAAATGTGAATCTAGGCAAGACCAATGGCCTGAGTGGAAAAGGGAGGGCTGATGCTCTTCAGCACTTTGCCACCCTCGTTGCATGCAGTGCAGAGATAAAGTCATCAAGCTAGATAAAAACCTGAGAGCAAGACGGCTCTCACAATTTGAGAACGTAAGAAAGAGATCCAACCCCGTGCTAGACATTGGGGAGAGCTTCAAAGAGAGGGGAAATATAATACAGCGTGACATAAAGGTGCTAAAGTTCTAGCAATTCCCATGCAGGCTGGGTGCAGGCTAAATCTCTGCTAGGAGTCTGAGGAACTGTCATCAGTTCGGACTTTTTGCCAGGATAAGTGAAAAGTAAGGATTTTTATTTTAGTTTCAGGTTTTGGCTGTGTTCCACTGAATTGCTAAAAAGGTCTGTTGACAGATTCCAGTTCTTTAATTAGAACAAATTTAACTATATGTTAAGTTTATTTTGCCGTGCTAAAATTAAGTATTGTTTCCTCGAACGTTAGCAGATTTCTTAAGTTTGAATCAAAAAAATCACAAGGAATGTAATGTTTCTTAAGGTGAGCATATCTTTTTTTTCATCAACCCTGCATTTTCTGCAGTAGAATGACAGAGTATCCAAACCCTGATTTTCTCCTCAGAAATGAGTTCAGAATAACATTGTTATGATTGACTTTTCTCAAAATATTTTGCTTTTTTAAAATTGCAGAATAGCAATAACCACCTTTCTTAAAGCACTGAAAAGATGAGGTTTGGAAGAGTGATGTTTTCAGTGGTGTCTGTTTAGATGTGAATAGAAATCCCAAATTTGGCAGTTGTAGTTTCTATGTAGAATGATGGCACTTAAAACGACTCTGGTAATTGTGCAGTACAACTGCTGCCTCTTATCGAGGTATATAACATTATAGAAGCACAAGTGATCACTGAATTACTATGATCCTCGTAGGAACCCAACCTGAATTTTTGCTTTTAATGATTTTTTTTTTCCTGTAAACTAACAAGGATTGAAGTATGCAATATTCCAGAAACCATAGAAGAATATCACTTGTTTTTTTAGTACCATAAAGGCGAAATGGGAAGGTCATGCTTTGAGCATGGGGTACTTAGGAAGGACAACTGTCTTGAGCAGGACCCTTGGAAGTGCTCAGCATGGGCCTATCTCAGAGCTCCCACTAGTTACCAGAATCCCTTTCCTCGTATGCTAGTACATTAATCTGTAATATAATTTATCACTTGTAGAAGTAAATCTGTAATGTAGGACAGGACTTTGTAATTTAAGCACGGGACTAATTTCACTCTCGTAAGCACTCGTTTTGCCTTTCTGTGGACTTTTTTGCAAGAGTGGAGTTGCTCGCACCTAATCGTTGCACTTAACCCTGGCTCCTGCCGTTTACAGTTCATGGACTACTTCTGTATCTGCACCCAACAGGGGCTATCTGGGGCAGCAGCTGGCCTACCCCAGTTCTATTAATTAAAGTTTAATCTTGAATTTGAACCACAGTTGCGGGTGCAATCCATAGCAGGATTGGGTCCCAGATTTCTCTCCCAAATACTGAATTTTGCAACCTCTGGACTGCCTGAAATTGCTGTGAAATAGCTCAGGGGATTTCTGTTCATCGCTACTAAAAGGGCACCATAATGTGTTTGGTACTTTTGTGCAGTAAGCAGCTGCCAGGTGTTTAAATTGGAACAAACACATAAAATGAATTGTTTATCCATTGTACTGTTGAGAAACTTGGTTGTGTATCTTGAGGATAATTTTTAGAGTTTTGTGATTTTTATTCCTAGTCATGTAAGAAAATTAGAGTGCCTTTTTATATTTGTGTATTCTGAAACTGTTTTGTGAAACTTGTCTTTTTTTTTTTTTTTTTTTTTCATTTGAGTGTTAAAAAAGCAATATATGACCGGTAAATTTTCATTTGAACCCTTCTCTGAATGTAAAAAGTGTTTCTTCTTTTTGTATGTTCTACCTGCATTGAAATGAAAATTAATAGGCTAAATTTCTATAGGAATAATGTATAATTTTGCAGTGCTGAAAATGCTTTCTTATACACAAAAAGTAAACCTTAGGTCAGTGTTATAGGAAGGAGCGTTTTAAACTAGTGACAATCTGAGTGTGTGTATAAAATGTAATTTTATGCGTTTCTTATGCAGTGATCTATATATTAAAGCCAATATCTTATGTTTTGTAGGTTTTGTCTTATATTTTATGCTTTAGCATGTGCAATATATCTTTACAAACAATGGTGACGAATCTGGTGCCAGTGTTATATTTTGCATAACATATTTGTAATAAACAATATAAAATATTGTTTGATGGTTTTGATGGGGTTTTGTCGGTATTGTTTGCTTTTGTAAATTGAAGTTAAAAGACTTCACTAAATGTTAATGTACAAAATGAGGAAAAAGACTTATTCCAGTGACTAATGACTTGGAATCCAACCTGCATCTTCTCAAGCACAGTTTATTAACTTTTTTTTTTCCAACTACTGAATGCTGTACTAATGTAATGAAGAACCGTAACTGTAAACTACTATTGAAGCATTCAGATGGTTATTTTTACAAATAAAAATGGTACAAATCCCGTTGGAAAACTTTGAGTCATTTTATTTTAAAGGAAGACGGAAATGGTTACGTATTTAGGTCAAGAAAGATGTAAATGTGTTTCGTTATGTATTTCTATTTTGTACTTCATCTTCTTTTTTCTTTAACCATCTCTTTTTTTCCCTAAATATTAAAAGCTTCCCTGTTAATTTTCAGTGCGTAGTTGCCCCTCCACCCCTGCGTGCCCCATGCTGCCCCAGAGAGCATGAAATCCAGCAAGTTGCTAAAAGTGCGTAATGAAAAGAAAAAAAAAAAGAAGTGGCTTTGAAGGTTTAGTATTTCAGGCTTTTGTGACCAGGTCTCGTCTGTTGTGCCTGAGTGGATGTTGTGACCGAATCATCTCCCCCCTGCCAGGATCCCTCAAAGCGACCGCGCGCGGAAGCAGTCGCCAAGATGGCGGCGCCGCCGCCCACGCGCGCCGCGGCGGGGGCGGCTCCCTGCCCTCCCCGTCATGGCGGCCGCCGCCTCCCTTCCCGCCCTCCCCAAGATGGCGGGCGGCGTGGGCCGCCGGTCC